ACAAAGCCGCCCCTCAATGTTTAGCAAATGAAAGCAGTAATTAAGGTTTTATGTGAATACTCTTTTCCTCTATTTTTTTATAACTACTGCTAGCTTAGTCTCATGATCTTGTTGCCATCACTTTCATTAAAAGTAATGATAGCCAGAGAATGCTATAATTACAACTCATTTGGAAAAATGATACGGGATTACTCAAGCTCATTGTGTAACACGCTGAAAGGTGTCTAAGCAGCAACATGAAACGTTAGATGCTATTGTTGTCTACAAATGCCCAATTTCATGAAAATTCAGTCTCTCACTTATTCACTTGTTTGCTAACTCGCTCTGCCTGTTTCATACATAATACTGGTAATAAGCAGCACAGAGGTCGTTGGTAGTACTAACCAATTCAAAGCTCCCATGCATCAGTAACATAAAGAATAGCAGACAGGAACAACAAATACACCAACGCAACAGTGTTTAAACTGTTGACTGCTTGATTGGCTGTAGATGGGACAGTTAGATGATATAACAACGTCTAGCTTGTATAACTATAAGGACTGGACAAAGGGGGAAGCAGATGGCCTGGCTCCTCTACAGGTTAATAAGTAACAGCCACATTAAAGCTCGCCAATAACATGTTATGTCAATTGTCTATCAAATTTAAAAAGTGGTGTAAAATCTTCAGGGCTTATTGGTTTTACTGGGGGCTTTGTGCAGAACTCTTTGTTTGCTATACCACCACCATACCAAGTCTCTCTGTGAAGCTAGATAATCATAACTTACAAAAAGCTGCTTGTTTATCACACAAACATGAGCGTTCTATCAATCTCCTCAATTGCTCTTAGCAAGACACAATTTAACATCTACTCAAGTCTGCTGATTAGCTGTACTTGCGTGGGTCGCTAACTTTAGCCATTTGTAAACCTTCACTTAGTTAGTGTTGCTAACTTCAAAGAAAGAATGTGTGACTTTTTGATCACCCTGGAGTATCAGCATGAAACCAATACAAAATGTTTGGTTTGGCGACACCTCCGCTATATTGAAGCCTCCACTCTCCTCCAGCCACACATCTCCAACCCCCCTCCACTCACATTCGCATGAAGGAGTTATCAAATGGAACGCACCATTAAGCACAAGCAGCGGACAATTTTGTCCTTGGCTCAAATCCTGTGTCTTGCATTGTTGTGTTAGCAGGCTAATGTTAGCACGCTTTAGTTAGCTCATAGCTTCACATTGCATGTAAATTTACAAGTAATAACAGTGATTATCCAGTGATTATCCAAATAAGCAGTGAGTATGTTATTCTTCTTTTCTCTATACCTTGACTAAAACAGTGGAGGAGTCGGCCATCCCGTCCATGTAAACCTGATGTAAATACAGCACCCACAACAACACAGCCAGTGGGACTCGTGCTTCATACTCATTGTAGACAGTCATGACTTAGGGAGACATTTACAAAATATTTATTTGTAAAATGTCGCACAGTCTGCCTTTAGCAATTGCCTCATTGCTATGCTAACACAATTAACTTCTTTTTAATTTAGGTTAATTTTTGGGCCTTTTTTGGATAGGACAGCTGAAGAGAGGCAGGAAATGTTGGGGGAAGAGAGAGGGGGGGATGACATGCAGCAAAGGGCCGAGGTCTGATTTGAACCCACTGCCACTGCGATGAGGAAAATAGCCTCTGTAGGCTACATGGGGCGTGCTCCATAACCGCTACCATTGGTGCTCCACAATTAACCTCTTCTTTGTTGAAAGAAAAGAAAGTCATGTAAAACAGCCGATCAAAGCTTTTGCATTAGTTGATTACTTGGAAACTACTCACTAAGAATACTGTTGCCTAGAAACTGTGGACAACTGAGGACCATGTATACTTAACATCACCTGACTCGTCTCGTGCTAAATACAGGTAGCTTATCTCTTTCTTGTTGACAGTTTAGCATGCTTGAATTATAAAATCAGAAAAGAATCTATGGATTATTTGAATCATTTTTTTCTCTTTCCTGTCCTCATCTCACTTCTCTTCAACAGCATCTGAGAGCAGTGTGACATTAAAGACTGATGTTGTCTGTTCGTGTGTGCAGAATTATAACTTGAGCTCTCAAATGTCAGGCACGCAAATGGCATTATCTTTCTGCACAGACGCTGTAAACACTCGTCTTTCCTTCAGGCTCAAATGTCAAACATTGTCTGGTGATTGCGAAGTGGAAATCGAATTCATCACAGAGGAAAAAGTCAGTTTAAAGTGTCTTTGTAAAGCCCGTAGTCAGTGTTATCTTAATTGGCTCCCGGAGGGATCTTTGTACTCCTCATCCACCCAGGCTTGGGTGTTCCAATAGTTTTGGTGTCTGTCGGCTGAGTTGGGATTGATTTCAAGTGAATCCGTGTGTGTGTGTGTCTGTTATCAGGGCATGATTCATTGAAGAGGAAGCATTGGATGTGGCATGGCTCCTTGGTGTCTCAGCCTCCTGTCTGTATTTCCCACAGACTTTAAATGGCCTCTTTCGCTGAGGGCAAATAGAAGCACTCATGTATTATCATTACATTAACCATTATTATGCTGAAACCGAGCATTCACAACTTCAAATATCCGATAATGCTAAATCCTCCACTCGTTTCCTTCTATAAGACCCTGGTGCAGATCTGAAGACAGACCTCAGTGTGATGCTCATCATCATAGTGTGAGTTTGCAAAGCTGGGTGACAATGGCACTTAGCTTTATGGCTCCACTGTTTATATTTGGATTCCCTTCTCACAGCTTAATGACTGTGACAACAATGACTCTGACTGTGGCAGCACATCATCCAACAATAACGGGAAAAAGATGACAGATCTTCTAGAGAACAGTAGTCAAAAGTGGGACAGTGTAGAATCAAAGATGTAAATATGTATTTACATTTTTGTTGTAAATGTTGTGTGCATATTTTCTTTTGCTGTAGTAAGATGTCAAACACTGTTACATCAACCAAACATCTTCATAATGCATTATAGTACTAGTGTCGCTGAAATGTTGTGTGTCACTTCTAACCGTGTTTATGGAAAGGGGGGGGTGCAGAATAAGTTTCAGTCTACTTCTGCACTCAGTTAAAACTGTTTTTGATCATCACTATATGAGCCATTTAAATGTCTGAAATGAAATGAGAACTGAAGACATGATAACTGGACAGAGGTCAGTACAGAGCATGCTGAACGGGATAAGTGTGCCCTCTAGTGGTGAAGAACCTTATTGACACCTTTTTTCTTTTAGTGTCAAATGTTTAAAAAAAAATCAAATTATATTGTTTAATATTTTAAACATAACTGATGTAAGAACCAGTTTTTCTTTTCATTATTTTTCCCCTTTTAAGCATTTTTAAATATATTCTTGCACTAGTAAAACCACATTGGACAATCAAAACATCAATCTGGTAATTAGTTTTAGTATTGTAGTATTGTGATAGCATTGTCTACTACATCTGTTGTAGCTTTGAAATCATTTTCAGTTTGGTGTTATTGACAGTTTGTTTGACCACTTTGCAGCAAAGTATTAACCTGCTTTAACATCACAGTCATTGTGTTGTCGATACATTTAAGAAGAGTGAACAGCTAGTGACATCTTAACTCATGTATTTCAAGTTACCTCAAGTAATTCATAAAGCCTCCATGTATTTCAGAATGTTGAGAAAACAGACAGGGGACTGTTGGAAAAGTCTCAAATTAAAAACTCAGAAGGATCTCTCATTCGCAATTGAAGACGATGAGTTGTTGGATATTTATTGAATGTGGGGAAAAGCATCAGAGAAGCTAAAGACTAACTCGTTCATTTTACACACTCAGCATTTATTGCCATGGACAAATATCTTCTTTTGAAGTCTAGTCGGTATCCAGTGATATCTGTGTGCTATTTTATATTTGATAAATTACATATGTGCACATGATCTGGGAAAGCACCATGGAATGGTTTTGGAATTATCGGGAAGTTGGCTTGGTGTCACTCTGAGAGAAGAAGATAAGCCTGCACACTTAATGTGGCCTTCCAGCAAGTGTGCGGACATTTCTTCTCTCTGCTGTTTTTGCATTGCCCTGCACCTATACATGATTTGGTATAACTAGCCCTTTTCTTGGTGTCCCTTACTCTGCACGTACATTTGGCTTTGTGTTCTTGTTGACAGGAAAAAGTTACCTAATGTATCTTTAAGCAAATTCAGTATTTTCAAAGTTGGATGTTATACAGCTTCAAGACTAATACTGCCAAACTGGAGGAACTCTAGAAGTCCCTCAGGGAAGGAATGAAGTGATAAAACGACATCATATGAATAGGGCATACAGGGAACAGAGATATGTACAGTTCTAGCTACATGTCACATTGAAGTCAGAACAGAATGATAATGTGAATGATTGCATATTTTTCATGTATTTTTTGTGAATTAATATTTGTCACATATATTCTATAAAAGCCATGTTGCACCTTGGGGTGCTGGTGGCACAGTGGTTGGTGCGAGCGCCCCATGTATGGAGGCTGTAGGTTCGAGTCCGGCCTGTGGCTTCGCATGTCATTTCCTACTCTCTCTCCCTGATTTCCAGCTCTATCCACTGTACTGTCTCTCCATTACAGGCACAAAACGCCCAAAAATAAGCCTTCAAAGAAACCAAAATAATCCATGCTGCACCAAGAAATGCTGCACTGCTTAAAAATATTTAAAAAAAACAACAACAACACACAAAATGGGATTAATGCTGTGACATGAAGTCAAACTCTGGGATGTCTTACTTTTAAATGTACTGACAAACCCTCTAAGGTCATAGCCTCAGAAGTTTCCTTCTGGCCGACTCAGGATTTGAAAATACAGCGTACACACAAACAAAGGGGGCTACTTAGTGCTGTACTTTACAACTTGCAGAATACAAATCGGCTTAATATCATTTAAAGACAAGCTGATGAATTGAGTTTTGCACAAACCCAGATGATCTTCCACAATCCTAGATGATGAAGAGCAAGAAATGAAATCACCGTCATCCTTCTTGTTTGTCCCCTTTAGGTGGAACAGGAGACAAGGACCGAGCACCGATCAGCCATGAATCTTTCCTGCTCATGGCAAATTCCCAGACAGACATGGATGACTGGGTCAAGGCCATACGGCGGGTCATCTGGGCGCCGTTTGGAGGAGGTATACAGCCAAACCTTTAAGCCTTTCAAACACAGGAAACATGATCACTTTTAAAAACAGATTTTTATACTTTTGACATTCCGATTTCAACCTCAAAAGGAATAGTGGCAATTAAAACTCAAGGCTGTTCTAATGCAAAATTGGGGGCTTGCCTTAACATCACACGAGTAAATGAAAAGATTAATTCCTTTCCCTTCAAGCCTGAAACCAGGAAAGTTTCATTTTCTGGAGACAAATTATTGCTGTAAATATTGGCTAGGATTACAGTTCATCCAGTGGTGTGTCTACATTTTGCTGTATGGAGTTTCAAACTTGAGCCAAGTCTTGACAAGTATCATCTACCCTCACTGTGTCTCATTTCATTAGCCTGCAGTTAATTCTCACCCTGGTGTCTAACTTCCTTACCTGACAGGGGAAATGTGATCAGAGTTGGCTGTCAACTTTTCCATTTGACTTAAATAATTTTAAAAAAATTAAAAAATTCAGCTTTCTTCTCTTTGATTTCTTACTGTGATAAATATAAAAATACAACCCCTTAGTTTAGCCTGTGAACTATGCAATGATTCATTTATTCCTATACTGAACCTCTTCATGCAGAGAAAGCATGTTGTTAATTCTCACCCTGTCCTCTCTAGTCTGGAAGTCTAACTAGTGTACTTGACAGGAGGCCAGAAATATAAGCAGGCCTGTCTGGGTGTGAACTGGGACATAAGGAGCAGCTGAACAGCATGGTGTTGGGTTACACAGACGCAGTATATTAATATGGAGATAAATGTAGAGAAACACACAGAGGATAAAGTCTGTGACATACGTAGTCTCATTTGATGCTTCTTGTCTTTAATTTATTTGGTCTGATTGATGAATTAAATATTCTTTCTTATTTTCATCCAGGTTTTATTAGTCAAAATTTTTTTTAATTAATAAGTAGATATAGATAAAGACAGGAGAGTCAATCCTTATATGATTAAAGTGGACATGGATAAATGTCGTAATACTTCCCTTCTGTTTCTGTTTAACATAGTTTACTTTACTTTCTCGTGTATTAGCCAACTTCTAGCGATACAGTTACAGAGCTAAGACTTGTGGTTGTCTCAAAATAAATAAATAACAATATTTTTTTTAAAACCTTGAAGGTAATCAAACAAGACTTATTGCTACATCTCACCAGAACATCTGTCTGTCAGTGTCGTTCCTGCCCCCTGGTGGCCATAATGTTGTAAATGCTGCTTTAAATGTTGAAGGTTGGTGTTTGATGGAGGGTTTTGTTTGTTTGTTTGTATGTATGTAGCCTATGTATGTATGTACGTATGTATGTGTATGTACATATGTATGTATGTATATATGTATGTATGTATGTATATATGTATGTATATAAGTATGTAGGCTATGAGTATTTTATTCATCCATCATATGTAGGCCTACATTATACAATAATTAAAAGAAAATACAGACAATTCAAACAAAGACAACAGTCATGTTCATATAAATAGGCATAAATAGAAGCTTCAAAATCTGCAACACATGTAGCAGCCTATGTGTAATGTTGCTTACTTAATAGTGGTAATCTGTCAACCACACATTGACTGGGTCCTTTTTTCAGCCTCCCTCTCAGATTCACGGGTAGAGGGTGTCTGTCTGTCTCTCGGTTCTCGGTCCAGAATAGATCTGTCGCCAACTTATCTGTCCCAGTCATTAACAGCAGCAGCAGCACGGCCCCAACAGACTGACCCCCGTCAGCTGCCGTCAGTCTCAACTCCTCCCTCACCTCCAAGCTGAAGCGTGCTCAGTGTGCAGGAGTCAGTCAATGTTGGAATAATCTACCAGTGGAGACAAATGCCTGAACCTGAATGGAAAAACTTGATGAAATGTGGGTTTGGGCTGTATGAGAAAGGCTCTCTGCTGCTGTGTAGCTCCTGTTCGGTGAATTACTACGATTACAGCGAGCTGTCCACCACCAGCTGTGACTGCTGCAGCCAATCACCAGGTAACGAGCGGTGACAGGCAGACACTCATTAGCATATCAACAAGGATTAGACAGAGGAGTAATAGTAAATAACAATAGTAGTGCTAATGCGTCATTTACAGTACTACTATTTCAAAGACTTCGTTATGAGAGTACAAGTGTTTATTATGTAGGATATGTTCTTTCTGTTGCTTCAGCACGATGGGGAGACTCTATAGACTGTAAATATTAAGAGAGATTCAAAATGAGCTATTTTCCGTCCAACAGGAACGTCTCTATTAGTGTGTGTAAATTAACCTACAATGCATACCGTATTACTAGTCCTACTTATTAATTTGCAGGTTTTCGTAAAATAATCTCACCTAGATAATTCGACATTTTTTAATAGGCCTAATATTTAGCCTGCTATGACACTTTATACGCCATTACAAATCCCTTTAAATAACCTATTCTACAACTACGAGGCCATTTTTCCCCCGTATTAACTCAATAACTTCCAAAGTATTAATGCATAATATAGTTTAGAAAAATATTCCAATATATTTTCAAACCAATTATGGGCCTTATAAGACTAGTGTTACAAATAACAATACTTAGCAAAGCATAGGCCTACAGTATGAGTTATGTTCAACATGGCCCAGGGTACTTCTAGAGGACTGTATAGTCCTCTAGAAGTCATAAAGAAATGTTTGTTTATGGATATTAAAGAGCCACACTGTTCAGTATGAGAAACTGATACATTTGTGTTCTTTGATAAAAGTGTTTTGACATCCTCTAACATGAAGTCTCTTAGACTTTAAAAGTGTTTGTGTGTGTTTGTGTTTATTCATGTCTTTATGTCTCAACAACATCATTCTTCACGGTGAATCCGCTGCCCTCTGTGGATTCATGATTGAAAAACAGAGGTGATCATCTGTTTGACCAACAATACAAACATGCTGGTGTGTTTTTCTGCATCTGTCCTCAGGGATATTTGGTCAGCGTTTGGAGGACACAGTTCAGTATGAGAGGAAGTTTGGCCCTCGGCTGGCCCCCTTGCTGGTGGAGCAGTGTGTGGACTTCATCAGGGAGAGGGGTTTGGACGAGGAGGGTCTCTTTCGAATGCCAGGACAGGCCAACCTGGTCAAAGAGCTGCAGGAGTCCTTCGACTGCGGCGACAAGCCTTTGTTTGACAGGTAGACGACAGAAAGCTGTTACTACTCTAGCTTTTTGAGAATAGAAAGATCAGTAGAAATATGTTTTTGTACTTCATTGCAGTAATACTGAAGTCCACACGGTGGCATCCTTGCTAAAGCTGTACCTGCGGGAGCTGCCTGAACCAGTCATTCCTTTCTCCAAATATGAAGACTTTCTAACCTGTGCACAGCTTTTGGCCAAAGATGAGGAGGAGGTATGTAAAGTATACTCCATGTGTGATTAATATTCATGTCTTTGTGTTTGTGTGTTCATAAAAATGGTTGTCTTTGTGTTTTATTAGGGGGTCCAGGAGCTGGGAAGGCAAGTTAGCACTCTACCTCTACCTAACTACAATCTCCTCAAGTACATATGCAAGTAAGTACACTAATGCCATTTGAATCCATGTTATATTAACCAGTCAAACAAACTTTAAATACATCATGTCATAACACGAAATAAATCAGGCCAAGACCAAACTCTTTGTTAGGTGGACAAGGGGAAGAACATATTTGTATAGCGCCAATACTTAATAAATGTTATCTCAAGACACTTTACAAAAGGGCAGGTAAAAGACTCCTCTTTGTAATGTTATCGACAAAGAATGGGTCATTATGTACTCTGAGAAGACAGGACTTTAAGCAGCAACACGAGGGGCTGGTATAAGGTACAGGTAAGTCTAAGCCAGCCATATTGAAGCCTGACGAAAAAAAAAGTTTATGTATACTTTTTTAATTAGACCGGGGGGATGGGGGGATGGGGGTGGGATGTCTGCCTTCCGGACCCTGACTACCAGAGAAGGCTATCCCGCCCATATTACTTTTGGAGACTTTATGTACAAAAAGCAAACCTGCATCAAGAAAGCTCATTATTCTGGGGTGTGTGGGGGGTTGGGGGGGCTACGATTTCTATGAGACATGAAAATTCTAATAATTTCCATTTATAGCTTTGGATGGTAATTAGAAGGATTTCAAATTGAAAGTCTACATTTTATTAGAAGCAAATGTAGATAAGCTGATATTGGAGAAATATGATTTATTTTCATCAATGCATCTTTTTGAGATGTGTGTGTTCAGTTTACCAAGCTGAAAAAGTCTGTCTTCATTCACTATGGGAGTTAAAAGAAAGGATATTCCAAGATTTAATTTAACCACATTTGGCTTAATGTGGCTCATGTTAACACCATTGCACTGGAGGTAAAGTAGATGTATTTAATTTGTAAAGGGACCATGTACAATATTAAATGTGAATGTTGTACTTTGTTGCATTGCACCAGACTTAGCTTAGAGCTCATTTACATCCACAGTCCCTTGGTAGGTAAAGTTACATTCCTTATTTTTGTCACTAGAAGCGAGGGGTTTGCCCCCGTAGTGGCTCCTAGATAAGGTGATTGAATCAGCCAGAGTCTCAAACCTTCTCCAACTCGGTGACTAACTCTTGCACGCAAAGTGCAATGGTGTTAACATGAGCTCAATCTGATGAACAGGATTTAAGCCAGCCCCAATGTGGTTCCTTAAATACCAATTAAGTGTCCCATTCTATGTAACAGGATATGATGGTTGATTGTTTCAAATGCCACGGGGAGATGTAACAGGACACGTGTTAAGAGGAATCCTTTGCTCGAACAAAGGTGTATGAGATAGTCTGTGCCTTCCACCATGCTGTCTCTGTGCTATGTTTGACACCAAATCCTGACTGAAAATCCATCAGAAACCGTTGATTAGTCGAGGAAGTTACACAGAAAGAGGAGGTGAGAGATAAGTCTCTAATTGGCTAAGGTGCCTGAATTAGGCTTTTTAAGAAGAGGTTTAATTACAGCTGCTGACTGTGTTGCAGAGCCTGTTAATGAAGACACATGGGGTCTAAGAGACTGGTTAAGGGTTAAATATAGAAATCCTAGAGTAAGTTCAGGAAGCTCAATTGGGGAAAAAAACGGAGTAGGGTTATACCGACTTTTACTTAATGTTGTTGTGTTCATAGGAAAATATGTTAACAGTTTTAATTTCTGTTTTACTTTGTTATCCCTTCTTAGATTCCTCGATGAGGTCCAGTCCCACTGTAATGAGAACAAGATGGGTGTCCAGAACCTCGCCACAGTATTTGGACCAAATATCCTTCGACCCAAGATGGAGGACCCAGTAACTATCATGGAAGGTACAGGCGTTGTATGAGCAGTGTATTTTAAAGCTATACTGTATGTGCTGAGATAATAAGACATTAATCAAGTCCTGTCTGGTCGTGATCCATAGGCACCTCTTTAGTCCAGCACCTGATGACAATCCTCATCAGGGAACACATGCGGTTATACTCAGGCCGGGACCAGGAGGGAACCACATTAACCGAAACAGAGCTCCCTGTTCAGGGGCATCAGCTCCAGCATCGCAGCCTGGGAGCCTGGATCTCAGAGGAAGACCTCCAGAGCTGCCCGATTTCCAACCCTGACCAAGAAATGCACAGCAGCGCCTCATCGCTGGATGCCAAATTGTGTGCAGCCGTCACTCCCACCCAGACCCCTAACCTTAACCCTGGACCAAAACTGGGATCTTCATCTGGGAAAGGAGAGACGGTGGTCAGCCCGAGTAAACAAGCCAAGACCATTCCTTCCTGGAAATACTCCTTTAAAAGCTCCTCCGCGCCGCGTTCACAGCCGCAAGCCAAGCAAAGCAGCAGTGGCGGCTCAGTGGCTGATGTTACTAGTGTATCTTCTGGTGGTGGAGGGGGAGGAGGTGGAGGTGGTAGTGGAGGTGGCGGGAACTGGCTCATGAATGGTCTGTCTTCCTTAAGGGGGCACAGACGCACATCCTCAGGCGAGCGCTCTGCTCGTGATCGAGACTCCACAGGGTCCACACAGAGACTGTCCACCTACGACAATGTCACCTCTTCCTCCAGTATGGGCAGCGTTCCAAGCGTATCCAGCACACCTTGGTCTACTTCCTCCTGCGAAATATCCGTCCCTGACTCGGGAAGTGAGCCCTCTGCCAACCAGAACTGTGGAGTCGTTGGTGAAGCCGGGGAAAAGAGCGAGTGGATGGAGAGCCAGAGGGAAATGGACAGAGGAAGGGATGGAGGAATGACAACAGACCCGAGCTCTGAGCAGGACAGTTGCGAGGCCATGGAGCTGTGCAGTAGCAGCGCAGCTTGCAGTGAAAACGGGAACACGGCGATGGCAACTGGGGTGCCGTCCATTATCATGTCGGAAGACGGAGACGGGACAAATCTGACACTGAGTGGCCTGGTGGAAGGACTGAATGAAGAGTTGAGCAAACAGAAGACTGCATACGAATCCAGGATCCTAAAGTAAGTCTGTATTCTTCTAGGCCTGAAGTTACAATTTGGGGGTCTAAAAGTTTTGAAAAACTCTGACGCTAACTCTTGTGCCAAATAATTACACTTCTAGTATCTTAGGATTTAATACAAAGGTTACATTTAGAAGCAAGGACAATGGAGAATTCATACACGAATCAAGCCTCCTCACTTGTATGTTTTCGACCTTTGTCCCCCAGATGGGTTAAGTTCGAGAATCATTGGATCCTACATTTCCCATAAGGCAAAACAATAGCATCTTTTTTATTAGACTTTGCCATCGAATGCATCATCTTGCCAATTAGACAGTTTGTACTGCCTGCCTCGTGTTACAGTGAAGTGTCAAACTGATATCTATGATGACATCATCAAGGGATATTCTCTCAGCCTTGGTCCTCTGGAGACACAACATACATAATGCAAAGTTCTTCAAACGCTGAGTCATTGCCTCTATTGGTGGCACATCAAGTGAACATTGGTGTCTTTTGAAACTATCACCAGGGGCTGCCATGTTTTTTTTAATGTTTTGAAACTTTTAAAGTTGGGCCCAACTGATATGGGATTGTCGGGGAAGATATTGATACTGATATTGGGGGGAGAGAAAAAATCTGATACCGATATATCGGCCGATATCTTTCTTAGCTCTATGTTCGATATGTTGAGACAGATAGATAGATACATCACGTTGATCACTCAAATGCAGTTATCAAAGACATACAGTATAAGGAAGACAAGATGGTCACTCAACTGGGAAGTAACTGCATTAACGTGCATCATCACTTGACTCTGGAGAGTGATAATGCTTGTTGTAATCCATATGGCACCCTCTGCTGGTGACAGCCAGACAGAGAGAGATAGTGTAATACTCAAATGAAATGCTATTTGACTAGTAAATCAATCTAGTAATATCGGCGCATACAATTAGTCGATACTGATAGTCACTGGATATGCAAATATCGGCTGTCTGATTAATCGGTCGAACTCTACTTTAAAGAACAGACTTTAAACAGTTCAACTCAAAGATATCCTTCAAGGGTCAATCCACCCAAACCTCTTCTTTGTTTTGTTATTAAAACTAGCGCTTCACAATGGTTATATTACTGTTTGAAATACAACTTGCCAATTGCAGCTTTAGGTTGAAGGTATGTCCTGATAACATTTAAGAATTGCTCAACAATGTCAAGGGTGTAAAAGGTAAATGTCTTGTGCTTTCTGTCTCTGCTGCTGCCCTCAGACTGGAGGAGTCGAGCGCTGCTCTGTGCGCACAGATGGAGCGTTTGGAACAAGAGATGGAGCAGGAAAAGAAGAAGCAACGCATGCTGGAGATCAAGCTACGAAACTCCGAGCGGGCACGGGAGGACGCAGAGAACCGCAACCGGCTTCTGGAGAAAGAGATGGAGGATTTCTTCTCCACACTGGGAGATCTGGCATTGGGAGCGAGGACTAGTGATATTTGACACGGCAGGGCCGCTCATCTCTCTCTGGCCAAGACTGCCAGCTTTTTTATATTTTTGGTCTGTGTCTTTTAAGGGCTTACGTCCTCCTCGGTGCATCAGGGCGTTCCTTCAAAAGAAGAAAACTGAAGGAACTGGACAAGTTTGTGCACATTCAGGACAAACTGGAAGGAAATTCCGAAGGATGAAAAAAATATGAAGCTGTGACTGACTGTGTGGTCCTTGTCAGAATGTTTATGTAGAACAGTGTTTGACTGCGCATGCTTGAAATGGAGCATTTTGATTGAAAGAAAGCGCTCCTGATCACACTCCTTGATGCGTCCAGGGTTTGTCTCATGAAGGCAGTCTTTCACGGTTCAGGTGCCTGTATGTGAATAATTAAAACATAATGTTCTTTCTATGACATTCTCTGTACTGGAGAGCACTGACTTCCTTAACCACTACTCAACCAAAACATGAATCCTTACTGAAACTGCAAAATCCATCAGAGACATGAATGTTGAATGCCAACAGCTAACTGACATCTAGCTGCAATGAATTTGCTACATTTAGCAAAATACTCTTGTCATCTTGCAGCGTGTTAGGTTTAAGGCTTGATACCTCTCTCATAACGACAGCCAGCAGCTAGTTAGCCTAGCTTAAGAAGTCAGAACACAAAGGGAAAACGCAAGCTCAGCACTGGCCAAAACCTGTAAAGCTACACTAACGTATCTTGTCATCGTTTAAACAATTTGTAGAACTACAAGCGCTGGTTTTATAGTAGGTCTCCTCTTCATCTCGAGCTTGGCTAACCAAGCCTCTATATTAAGCAGATTTCATTTTTATTTTCGCTTCAGACAGCACTCGACTCTTTCCAGCTTCCCACTGTTATTAACCATTATGTTAAGCTAAGCTACAGCTAACAGTTAAGCCGAGCGTACACTGTACAATTTCAAAGTGATTTCAACTAAATTTTTGAGTCGTACGACTAATATTTAAGTTGGCTTCTGTACACTGAGGTAACCGGCGATCACGGCCAGATCAGCTGCTCCCGACTGGTCGGGTTATTTTTTTCTGGCGTTGTGTGATATTTTGTGTTGTACGGCTGCACACACTCGCGCAGTAAGAGCAGAGCCACGGGCTGATTCCCAGAATTTGGGACTTTTTTAACCTTAACCTGAACCAAACTGACAGCGTCCAAAATCACCATGGTAACAGCAGGCATGCCTGTTTAATGTGTCTTTTTCATATCATATCGTATCTTTTTAGTGTGCGTGTGTGTGAGAGACAGAGAGGGGGAGTCACTGCATTTTTGCTGGTGAAAAAATGAATTTAATGTCAATATCTTGGAATTTTCTTTTGTTAATTGCAAATTCTCATTCTGATTTCACTTGTACAGTGTGAGCTCTCAGGTCGTGTCCAACAATCTGGTCGAACAGTGTGAGCGCATGAATCCTGAGCATCGGTCGTGCATCGTAAACGAGTCAGTCGTACAGTGTGAGCTGACATTCCACACTGACTTTTATACAGTCGTACAGTGTACGCCGGACTTCAGGTATCTGCTGAGACAAGTTTCATCTAATCTTTCTCTAAGCAAGAAATCAAATTCATGCATTCTCCAAAATGTCACACTACACCTTCAACTTTTCTTCTGGATATTCAACTGTAGACTTGTAGAATATAACCCAAAGCCAGGTTTAGAAAAGTTGATTTTACTAGATATTTCTTTTGGAGCTAAACCGAAGCAGTAAAATGTCAAACCTCTGCAACAGCTGCCTCTGTACTTCCTCTGTCCTCAGGCCTTTCCAGTGCCTCTGTAGACACCATCTACATGGTTTCCACATCCTTTTGATGTCAAAGCTTCAGTGTTCGGTTCACCTCGACCCTCACAGATGTCAGTATACCTTTAATGTACAGATAAATACAACAGGGACAATGAAAACAACAGTTTAAGCATTTTTCAACATGCTGCCAAGGACAAAAGGACATGTGGCTGAAAAGGTGAAGGCCATGTACTGTACACAGTAAATACCAAAGCTGGACCGCCTCAGCTGTTCGCTCTATAAAGACGAGAATGACCTGCCTGGAAGCCATGTTGATTTTGGCACATGAAGCTGAACACTGCCCTCACAGAAACAATGGAATTTCCTGGTTGTGCCTTCAGGGAAATGTTTTTGGATTGGAAAATGTAGTGTTGCTCGCCTGTCAAGAAATGTGGTGCATTTATTCTCTCATTGTACACGCAGTGGCTTCATTGTTTATTTGTTTTGTTATTTTTTAAGTATGGCAACGGACTGCTGAAGAGAAGCAACTTGAAGGTGCCAATTATTGTGAAAGTGAATAGTGCATTGAATGGAAAATGTTGAATTCAGAATGTATCCTCGTGAATGTAACGTGTTGTTGAAACCAGCCCAATGAAAAAAAATGTAAACTACCAGAGGGAGGGAAAAAGATGAAAACCACTATTCATATCCAGTTCAGCACCCAAACACCCTTACTTTGCCTTCTGCCTTTGGCTACAACTGAACATTGTTCAGTTGTAGCCAACCTATATTATGGGATGTATCACACAGGCCTATATCACATCAGATAGACATGCAGAGCTTAGTGGATCTGTCAATTGAATGTTTAACATTTAAATCTGAAGTCCTTGTACTAAGAGTTTATACTTCTCTTTTTGTGAAAATTGCATGAGGTTAGATTGTGGAAAAAGGCCTTGATCATGCAGAGGGATGTCCACAGGGTTTAAATGACACTTCTTAAAGGGCCAGACACACAGTATAATACAAGATACGGTTTACTTGGACAATGGGATTTTTATTTCTTTTGTATGTTTTTTTTTTTTTTTACACAGGTTTACAAGACGGCCTTTTAAGGCTTTTGAGTTAGCTTCAAGAACTACCACGACTACACTCCACAGTTTCATGGTCTTAATTTCCTGCAGGTTAGCTGCCGACAGCTAACTGATCTCTGTCAGGCATTTATTTCCCTTCATGGATGTCACATGACGAAGGCTTGATGTTTGTTAGTGCTCTGCTGATCATCTATGGTGCTTATTTATTATGGATTTCCACTATTGTAATGGATGGACTTGTATGGGAATAAACATGACAAAGATCATTTTGTAGAATTCCACATTCTTGGATTTTCAAAGCGGACTGAATTCCATTTTTTACGTCCTTAAAAAAAAGGTCACATAGGTATAATTCAAACAGCACTTCACCATGTTTTTCAAATAGTAAAAGGTGTCCCTTGTCTGTCTACAAACCCCCCTCCCCAATTATGAGAAAAGTCAATCCTCTAATTTTTTGCCGGCTCCACTTTTCAGAAAACGTGTGCTCAAACAGGATGTTTGTGATGTCATGAAGGGAAAATCGCCAAAGGGCAGTAACCCCTCCCCCAGGTGTGTGGCACTCCTACAGCTAGGTGTTTGTTCTACCCTCTGAGTCCACCTTTTCACTATAGACAGCAGGGCATGGAGAGAGAAAGCCCAAGCCACACCCCCTTCACAGCCCAACACAGACGGCAGCTATTAATTAAGTTAAACGTTTAAGAAGAACAGGGACACAGGAGATAAGGGACCCTTTAGGGTCGGATCAGTACCCTTGGCACCCCAACAGAAGGGTACCAAAAGAGTAGGACAGAATGCATCCCTAATTTCGGTACCATTCCCAATTTTTGACGGTGGAAACGCAAATAAATGGGTACCGTACCGAAACAGGGCTTCTGTGTCACCCAAAACCATCTGGTGTCACCCTTGTTACCTCACAGAAGAAAACACATACAACCCTTTAAAGTGTATTTTTTTTTATTTGCAGTACATGTTTTTTTTCACTTTTTTTTTTTTAAAGAGGTGGCATCATCAGATCCCAGTGCATGTATTCTAGTAGTGCACTTCTTCGTTGGTTGCGGTTTTTAGGACGCGCAGATCCAGGGAATTCTTAAAACTACTTGCATGGCTGGATTCACTAGCAAACATAACAAACCAGCACCATACATATAATGATTTCTTGTAGGTATTTTACTCATCTTTTTGTGTGTGTGTGTGTGTGTGTGTGTGTGTGTGTGTGTTGTGTGTGTGTGTGTGTGTGTGTGTGTGTGTGTGTGTGTGTGTGTGTGTGTGTGTGTGTGTGTGTGTCTATTAACATTATTGTCCTTACCACATCCGTAAATCAAAGTCTGTTAGCTGGGGTTGAAACTTGCTGGACTTCCTGTCTCCGTATCAAGCCTTGGCCAACAGGTTTGTTCGGTGGGTAAGACTGATTACGTAACATCATGACTATAAATAAGTCACAGAAATAAAAATTGATCTTATTCATTTAAAAAAAAAAAAAGGAAAACATGGATTGACAGTACCAAACATTTTCTTTACCTTCAGGAGACAGCTAACAAAGGCTCATCACAGACTACTAGCACAGTTTGCTGAAGGTATTGCACATTTAGTTTCAAAACAAAAGAAAGAAAAAAAAATACATATAACAATTCTCTTACTTCTAGGTGAAGTATACATAATGTACAAAACTAGAAGTCTGTTGAAACCAACAAATAGTACACTTTCAAATAAATAAATAATGGAATCTGTTATTCACACGTCTTCGATAGCTAATTCTGCAGGCGACTAAGTATATGCGAGAACTGGCAGAAATTCAGCATGAGGTAGTTCATCAAAGCCAACTCAAATCAGAATGACGTCGTTTGGAGAGATGCAGTAATTATAGGGGTTTTTTTTCTTCAAAAAAGCAACAACAACCTAAGCACAAGAAGAAGACAAAAATACTCTGATTAAAGCCCCACGATACAGGCCGAGAAAATTAAGAGCACTTTAGACAAAAAGAGGCGTGTCCTCATTATTTGAGCTAATGTGATGAATTTATTAATATGAGAAATGGGCTAATATGACACATGGGTACATATGAATCACTGTCTCCCTCATAGATGTGACACTGAGTCATTATTAACTCCTCACTTATCATTGATCCTAATACTTCTTCATATGAAAGAAAGGACTAGCCATTCTCGTTTGCTCTTTAAATCTTCAATAACTGACTCCAAAGAGAATTTGGCTTTGTTCTGTGTGAACCTGTCAGCAGCTGAAAACTCCGCTTACATCATAACTCAAACGTTCCCTTTAGATTCTGCTGAGAGGAGAATGGAAGCAAGTTGCACCAGCTGTTTGTTACCGTACACTAAGTGAAGTTCAAACATAGTTAGAACTCAAAGAGTTTATAAGGTGGAGATTTACATTTCACTAAACAAATTAACTACTTATTATAAAGTTTTTTCTAATATGTACACCCTGTTACTGCTAAGTTTAAAGCTAGCATTTCCAGGTTCATATCCTGCATTAAACATTAACTGTTAATATAAACACACAAAGCTAAAATTAGCTTTTATTATTCAAGTTGTTCGGTCCAGGCCAGCATCTAAAAAAAAGATTGGTGTATTTTTTTTTTTTGCATCCAATCAATTGAGGATGCAGGAATTTAAAATGAGGGTGCACTGCAACGTTTTGCACCCTCGTAGAACCAGGCCTGGTTCTGTGCTCAGTGACATGGCTCATTTGAGCTCACATATATATTACCTTCTAATGAGGGTAGCTTAGGTGACATACAAATGGTCAGTGCTAGCTACTGATTTCTATCAGGCTAAATGTTTTGTATATTGTGATAGATCAGCATTATGAGTTGGCAGATGGAACTAGCTTCCTTCACTATAGCAAACTGTTAAGACACATATCAATGCTCTGTGTTCATGTTGTAACACCGAGGCATTTCATTCTGCACCTTTTGGAAAATCAAAAAATTATTCAGAGGTTCCAGAGGAATTACATTTGTAAATTGTTCATGAACAATACGTAAGCTAACACTTCTTTAGTTTTAATGGTGAAACCTAATCTAAGTTGTCACTAGCTGAAACTAGCACTTAGAAAGGGGACACACAAACTAACTTAGTCGTAGATTCACAAACAGCTGGTGCAAGTCCAGATGTTGATGTGGAGAAGAAGCCACAGTATTGTCAGTATATAAGAAATCCTGCTTTTCAATAAGATTCTATCAGCGCTAACCTTTAGTTGTTTGCAGACAATAAGTTTGTCAAGTCTGTCTTCTTTAAATCGCCTACAATTATTTTGTTTCTGCATAACTGAGACAGATTCCTGACAGACAACACCGTTACAGGTTAAACAAAGTTATGCAAAGTCATGTGTATGCATCTTCCTTAAACATCCTGAACACCTGCTCGTGATCCATGACAGCAAAACAAACAAAAAAATCCTTAGTTTGGGTTTTTTACAAATCGTCCAAGCAGACAAACTGGCTGAGTGAAACCTCGAGAGGTTGAGCATCCATGAAAATCAAAAAATACATGCACTACTTTTGTTTATGATCATGATATTCATGATCTATAAAAGTTTAAAAAAATAAAAATAAAAAAAAAATAAAGATTCTGCATAACTTGCCTTTACAGTTGGAGGCTAACATGGTGAGTTACAACTTGGGTAATGACGGTTAGAGGATAGATCTGATCAGAATCTCTGGGGATTTTGGCTCTGCCTGTCTAATGTGCTCATCATAAAAGCCTCACTCTGCCTTCTGACAGTCTAACCGTACAGCTCCACTGGTTCAGACGACGGCTAGCATCTTAACTCTTTCTATTCTTTTCCTATGAAGAACCAGAGAGGCAGTCACGCGGTGCATTCTGGGATCTTTGCACGTTCGCCGGACAAGAATATACCAGAGCTCTATTCTACGCAAACGAGCCCAGGGACCGCCTGGACTGGCTGCGTCTTTATCCAATCAGGTGCATTCATTGAGGCTATGTCTCCTATTTAACTTGACTTTCAAGAGTGGTTGGAGAGGTCCAGGAGAAAATCAAACTAAACCCACTTTTCATTGGGTATACGCCCATTGAGCGGCGAGTTGAACGCTCCAGCGCGATCCCTAGCGCAATCGCCTGAACTAGTGGAGCGGTAACATATACTGATGACACAATCTCAGAGTTCACTTGTTTACTTTGATCCAGTAGTTAAAATGTGTCAAACACATCCGTCATGTCCATTCTTCTCTCTGCAATCCTCGTATTAAATTAGCACTCAAAGAAATTCCCAAAAAAAAAAAAAGGTATACTCGTTTGCCGTCACTGCAAAGAAACGCTTCTTTGTACTTTGATGAAACACCTTATTACACTGCCTGTTCTTCTGAAATGACTCAAACACACGCTTAAGCATCTCGACGTATACGCCATCACCTTCTTACCCTGCAAGACAAAAAAACGTCTCCCGCTCAGGGGGTCCAACTCAAAACAAGTAGAAAAATATACGACACATTTGTGACAACCACAACCCCCATCATACACGATTAGCTTGATATGGAAGCTACTGTTGTTATCCAGACGCTATGACAACCTAACCAAACCACTGAACGCTCACATATACAGGAATGAATGACAAACAGGCACTTTTCCTTTCAATGCTAAATCAAAAAGACTCCAAAAAAAGGGCACTCTTACTGCATACAGTAAGAATTCTTTGTTTCTTTTTTTTTTTTACTGGTGGTTTGTGCTGCTGCTGTTTCACATGCAAGCTTTTAGGTTTTTTTGAGTTCCATTCACAATTGGAGGCAAATCTGGTGCACCAAGAGTTTGGCTGACTTGTAGAAAAAAAATTCACTTTAAATGTCCAAATTCACAAAATGAGGACAGGATCTGGTTGTAGGAAGTCGACATCTTTTCGCTCCGTCCCATCAGGCTGCAGAATCACTATCCACCCAAGACACTGAATATCATCACGTTCACAAGCTTTCTGAATACCACAATCCCTACTTTACTAAAAAAAGCACACTCTACTTACACCGCCACCGACTTTACAACCTCTCCCAGCTCGTCTACATCTCCGAAACCCTCCCAAAGCACGACAAAAAAAAAACATTCCCAAGTCCTTCACCATAATTCCCCCCCCCCATTGTGGGATCACAAACAGTTTATCTGAAGCAATACCTCACTGTTAAAGGAAGCTTTAGGGGAACATGAAAGAGCCTCTTTAATCCAGTCCTCCAAAGCAATACCACCACTCCAGTTCCCCAAAGTCACAGCCTGTTGCACATAAGAGGAGGAGGTACTTTAAAAGCACTTAAAAACACAGAAAACAGCAATCGAAAACGCTCCTAGTTATCTCGCGGGACCTAGCGGTGCCATTATCGTTCCCTTAGCTAAATGTAGAAGGTCACTGAATCCCATGAGGAGTGAAAAAAAAACATCATGTCTGACTAGAAGGTTTAGATTAAGCAAATGATAAAGCTTACTTTCAATTCAAATTTAAAATGTAGGAAGTAGTAGTGACTCAAAGAAAAAGAAAAACATTACGAGCAAGAATGAACTTAAAAAAAAAAAAATATGTCATATGCATTGAAAACAATCAGCATATTTCATGAAATAAAATAAAAATGAGGGGGTTACTAAGACCGTACGTTTGTCAATCCAATTATGTTTCAATGGCTCACTGCAAACTCGTATCAAAGAAAAACTACATCTACCATCAAATCTGTACAAACTGAATCTACATTGATATGGCAAGTTGTAAAAGCATGAGCTTACAAGTGAACCAAATGACTTCCAACAGAAAAATATAGATCACATTAAAACATCTTACAGATAGTTCTTGAAAGTCTCACTGTCGGTTAATACAAACCAGAACAACGTGAAATCATAAAAATTCTCTTATCATCGTCTTAGGTTTCTGAAAAAATTAAGAAAATGCCACAATAAATTACAGCTAGGACTCAAAGGAAGAGAAAAATCCTTATTTAAAAAAAGACTATAACAGTAATAAAAAAAGAAAAGAAAAAAGTATCTGTCCCTCTAAGAAATATTTCTCAAACAGCTAGCTGGCTAATCGCTACACTACTGAAGACAAGCACAGAGAGGATGGGGGGATGGGAAGAGGCGAATGCAAGGGGCGGGGCCAGGAGCCAGTGTTGAGCTTTTGGTCTGGGATTTGACCAGGAGGCTCCGCCTAGAACCAGGTGGAGGTGTAGATGATAGTCATCTGCAGCAGCCCAAGGGGGCGGCGGCTGTAGCAGCAGCAGCAGCGGCAGCAACAGGGGTGGTGCTGGCCGTCTTCAGGCTGCTGTCAGTGTCAGTCAGGGTGGGGCCGGTGGTCATGGAGGAGGAGGCGGAGGTGGAGGTGTGGTGCTGGTGGTGCTGCTCGGGGCCGCTGCTCACTGCTGCACCTGTGCTATAAGAAACAGGAAAGAGCCAGTGGTCAGCCAGTGAGAGTGAACATGCAGCAGACACTGAGGAAACAATTGATTTAAATACAGTGACATTTAGTATAATTAATGTTGCTGACCGGGCTGGTGGAATGGTGAAAAGTTAATGGACTTGTGCTTGTGTAGAGCTTTTATAGTCTTCTGACTACTCAAAGCACCTTTACACTACAGGCCACACCTACACATTCACACACTGATGGCAGGGGTTGACATTTTAAGTGACCATCAGAAGTAATTAATCCCATCTACACACATTCATACGCAGCCGCCGAAGCAGCAGAAGCAACTTGGGGTTAAATGTCTTACCCAAGGACACATCAGACATGTGCTGCAGGAGCTGGGGATCGAAACCCACGACCCTGACCTTCTGATTGAGAGACGACCAACTCTATCGACTGAGCAGCAGCCGCCCAATTTCTAAAACACAAAATAAATGCCACTAACCTATGGACGCTGGCTGTCCCCTGATGACACCATTCTTTGTCCTCTCTTCCCAGTCAAACACTTCTTTGTATATCAACTCTGTAAAAAGAGGACAGTCATTTTATACAGGCGCAAGATGAGAAAAAAGAGAGAGAGACAATCATCATAAAAGTACACAGTTCACAGAGAGATCAACCATCAGCATCTTTTTCTTCAATGTATTCCGTAAGTGTGATGTATTATTTATATACTAATCTGTTTCCCTTTACCTGAAAGAAAAATATGGTAATTTGAATGTGATAGATTATTTCAGAGTAGAGAAAGATGTGATGAATCATCCTTCAGCAGTTTGAGCGGAAACACCAACAAGTCACACCACACAGTTGTTAATCTCCTGCTGTCATTATCATTCTGTCATCACTGAGGATAATGATGTTAAAACAAAGGAGGGATGTCTTCTTTACTGCTTCCTCACAATCCTTTGGTGTTCCTCAGGGGTCAATCACAGGTCCCCTATCATTTTTAACTTTCATGTTGTGTGGGTAACAGCATATAAAACAATACAGCATGTTCTGTGCTTTGTAGTATAATGATGATGATACATGTGTTCCACAAAAATCAAGTAATAAGCACAACTACTTTATTGCATATTTTCCCTGTTTATAACACGTGTTAGATCTTATATAATCTTGTGTACTTTGAAAACTATAGGACCCTTCATTTATCGCTCATCTTAAATGAATGATCCTTCTTTCTAAAGGTCAAGCAGGGAATTAGGCATAACTGATGTTGTAAAGCCATATGTACTAATTCTTATCTTTTTAGTCAGTTAAAGAACAGAGACAACCTTTTGTGATTTTTGGCTTATACCAAAACTTAAAAAAGGTTATCTATACTTGCATTTCATCACAGTTAAGCAATAACACTGTTGTGGTTCTATAATATAGTGTAAATTTTGATTTTGCACACATTTTTTGCACACATCTTTCACACAAATTAGATTAAATTTAGAAATTGAAAAAAGGAATCCAGGAGGGCATGAATGCAACAGGTGTTTGATGTAAATCCTGTTCAACATGAGGAATGGCATCAGACAGTACTACATTCATGACTTCGAACTATGCAGAGGGAAACATGTATCAGCTTAAGAAGGAAGATTAAATGTCCCACAGGCTGCAAAGCACGAACACAGACCAACCTTATGCAACACACTGCACAAAGCTAAGTACTTATGACAGCTTTTCAAAAAAGGAGAGGGGGAACAGAGGTTCTATCCTACCTTTCCACTCCTCCACTGTGTGCTCTCTCTCATCGAGCTGCTTGTCTGTGATTACTGGTGGCGGCTGGAAGAAAATAGAAGGAACCCGTCATTTATATATTTCACTCTGCTAACAGATGCTAATTCTAAACACACACCACAATAGGATAAATAAACTGAAGATTCAAAAAATAAAACATGTACAAATCCTTTAATATTTAATAAGGTAATTGTAAATAGACTTGAGCTTGTAGAGCTTTTCTAGTCTTCTGACTACTCAAAGCGCATTTACACCACAATTCACACCAGAGGTTGATATGTAAAGGGACTATCAAAAGTAACTAATCCCATTCACACAAATTCATACACCTTCAATGATGCAGTGGGAGCAACTTTGGATGAAGTGTCTTGCCCAAGGACACGTTGGAAGCAGGAGCTGGGGATCAAACCTCGACCTTCTGGTTGAGAGACGAGCGACTCTACCAACTGAGCAACAGCCTATGGACTTTATTTTACACCTAGCTCAACCATGCACACAGGCCAGCTGACCAATCTGTTGCTCGTATAAGCAGCAGATAGAGACATTGACAAACAAAAACATGATCTGAAGTCAATGACTCCCAGTATCTAACTGCAATTTAAAGAAGGCATTATTCAGATAAAAAATAATAAACCGACAGTCTTGAATTTACACACACAAGGAAACAACTCTGACATAATTACTGGGGTTGGAAAGATCTTTTTCTAATAAGGAGAATATTACTGAACTTTTGCTTGCATGTTTCGCACTCACATTTAGCAAAGGATCGATGAGGACTAATGGGTTCATGTTTGCATTTTAGCTAGACAGTGCAGGGGATGAAAGATGAGCCGCACTTGAACCATATAGGGTGGGGGGAGTTCAGAAGTTGTAGCTCAAACTGATGTTACAAACTGCATTAATTGTCCTTCAATAAAAGCTACAATTCAACACATCTCTGCTTCATCACAGGCAAAATCAATTTGCACTGGCTGAGTCATTGCACTCCCAAGGAGAGTGTGCTGGAATGTCATCAGCCACATACAGACAATGCTTCTTGCGTGCAGAGAACCGACATGTTCAGGGAGAAGAGGCGTTGGCCAAGAAAACATTTTTTCTCTCACAACCACTTTCTCGGATTAGTGCTACATGCAGCCCTGAATGAACACACTAATTCTGACAGTTAGCTTAATTTGTGTATCTCTTTTCGATCTACTAGGTCAAGTGGAAAAGGCGATGCCACATACATTTGATTTAAAATCGTATGTTAGTCGTGTTTGTTTGCCTATGGTGCGAGGCCACTGTCCATCAGATCTGACCACATGAAATCCACAAAGCGGTGGTACAGCAGATCAGCTCGCTGAGTGTGTAAGTCTTAACTAGTATTAATTAGAGAGTACTTACTGCCTCCACTTCAGTGGGGTCATACCACACGTTGATATAGGGATGCTGGAGAGCCTCATCCACTGAGATCCGCTTTGATGCGTCTATTACCAGCATCTTTGAAAGAAGGTCTCGAGCTTGGCTCGCTGGAAAGAAAAAAAGAGAAAGTCAATGGTAAATGCTTGGCTTTGAATCAACCTGATTTTTATTGCGGAAATTGTTCCATCTGGGAGTGTCTCGCTAATACATACACTGGATGCTGGTAGAAACAAGAGACACTGAACACAACTCAAAAGTGATAAATATGGTGTGCTAGATAGCCTATGGGTGATGTTGCACGCTCAGTGTAAAGAGGACATAGTCTTTGTCATGGTGACCATGGGTTTGAATCCTCCCTCCCCCCTAGCCTGCATGTCACCCCACGCTCTCTTCCCAACATTTCCTGTCTCTCTTCACCTGTTCTATCTTACAAAGGCTACCTTTAAAAAAGTGATGAATTCCTCCCCCGGTTAAAAATATGATTGAACTTTAAAAGATCTAAGCTCGTCGATCTCATGTTGGGGTACAGGTTCTCTTTGTTCAGCTACCAAGACGAGAACTACCTTGGAAAGCTATTATTGTCCAGCTTGTTTACAAATTTAAAAAAATCTGTCTTTCTTGATGTGGTCTCGTCCATTGTGGGAAACAAAATAAGACCGTGGACTACAACTAAAAAGCACTACAAGAGGTCAAAATGTTAAATTGGACTTTGAAGCTGAAGAGATTGATGGATTAATTATGTCTGGCTAATACTTTGGTTTAATCAGTTAATACAAGTTTATGGAAATGGGATCTTCACTTTCGCTGGACTATAAAGTAGAACAAAACCGCCACTGTCTGCTTGAAATTCCCTCGTTTATAGTTATGCAAAGGTTCTCTAGTCATCATGGTCGCATGCTATGTCATGTGGAGCCCCTTCAGTTTGGCAGCATCTAACCTTTATCTGTCTGTAGGGAGGTATTCTTACCTCTGAGGCTAATAAAAGGCAGCAAGGAGCACAGCAGCTACCATCTCAATCTAGGTCTCCCAAATACATTGAAAGGTGAGAGCATCGTGTGTTTTTACATCAAAATGACACATCATCATATCTCACCACCAAGTAACTCCTCCTGCCTGCATACAGAAAGTCCTAGAAAGATGTCTATGTCTTTATATATCTGTGTTTAAATTATTTAAGGGCATCCACCTTGATGTTCATATGTCAGAAAGCTTTGCCAGTGTGGCCTCTCACAGCTTTCAGAACCAAATGTGAACATCCAACACATGCACTTCAACAGGAGTACTTCAGAGAAACACATCTTCTGTCACACACACGCCTGCCTCTGCAAACTAATGAGGACAGGAAAAGATAGACTCCTTTATTTTCCTCGCTCTCTTCGTGGGACATCTTGCCACAGCTCGGCAGGCACTTGCTGTGAGCGGTCCTGTCATCTTCTCTCCATTTACACATGAACACGCTGGAGGTGAATTCTTCCCCCACAGAAAACAGCTCGGTCCTGAACTGTCAGCTCCCTTAATAAAGTGTTTAATCTCAGGCAGCCGCTGAAAAGTGATTTGTCACTTGGGCTTTGCTGTCGGCGGAGGTTTGTGCGGCTGCGAACACGCAGTGTGCGACACGAACTGATGCTATTCAGAGAAAAAGTTCTCCTTTCTGGGCTGTGAGTGCCTGGAGAATTACTCACTTGGCCAACTTGGATCCATCATATTAATCCTTCAATTACAGGAAGAGACAGTTGAAAAATCACATGTGAAATGCCACTGAAAAAATTATCCTTTTTGGCTTTTGTTCACATTCAAAGTAGCGTCACTGTTGCATATTATTGCATTAAAGTCAGGGCTCCAGAAACAGGAAGGGCCCTTTATTCCTTGTACTTTCTATCATGAGATAAAAGAGCAATTTACATTTAAAAATTGGTTCCAGGCTGGTCAATTTCTGCAGTTATTATAGAACCACAAAGGTTTGAACTCTCGGCAGGCAAAACATGAAATACAAGCTAAAGGAGAGCGCTTTCATCCACATGGATTTAAAGACAATAAAAGAAACAAGTGGCTCTTTACCTTTCAGTTTGTTGTGTTCAGAGTCTGCAGGAAACAGAACATCAGGGAAGAGCTTCTCAAAGCTGTAGCCGGCATACCGGGGCCTGTTCTCCACGTAGGTCCTCACAGACTGGTTGAGCTTCATCAGGAACTCCTGAGACGGAGTCCCGAGCTGCTCGATCACCTTATTCCACTGGTCGATATCTTGAGGTTACAGTTATTAAGAAAAGCACCAGACTGGGCTTGGGGGGGGGGGGGGGGAGAAGTGGGTCATTGAGGGGTTAGAGGGGGTCATCTTGAGAAGCATTTTGAACTGATAAATAATAAATAATGAGTTTCTGCAACTTGTTCACTGTGATGTTTTGGTTTGAATATTCTCCTTAAATACTAAAATGGAGGATGATTTCAAAACATGTGCATGTAAGGAGAGGTTCATCTCAAGTGGTCCAAGTTCAGGAAGTAAGTGTGCACCTTCTTTTATAGACAAAAAAAAAACCGTACAGATATCATGAAGGACACATACAGGAAGTCTTTGATCCTCAGCAATGATTAAAAAAACAAGAAGCGGAGTCTACTCAAGAAACTCTATTGTTATAAAAGCAGGTCTGTTATTTCAGCCAATCAATACCGCCTTCATTACAAGAGGAAGCAGTATTTCATACTCGAGGTCCAAACAACCACGAAACCCCAAAATTTGGACCCTGCCAGCAGCACGTTGCGATCTAATAAACAGTCGACTCTGAGAGGTGACATCATGTTAAGTTATGGAACGTTTGACTTCAACTCTACATGACTCCATGTGTAGTAGCAAAATATAACAGACAGTCAGCTTATATATTATTATAGGAATCGGTGACATTTTTTCTATTTAGTTCCCTTTGTTTGTCATTGTTATTAAGGAACAAGGCATTGTAACAGCGAGTAGGGAAAGGCCATTAATAGATTAACAAAAACTGACTTTGAAAATGATCAATTAGTGAATGTAGACAGCCAACTGGTAATCTACACTAGTGCTGATGTATTTTTAAAGAAGACATCACAAAGGGCAGTAACCCCTCCCCCATGTGGGTTAAACTCTCACAACTAGGTGTTTGTTCTGCCCTCTGAGTCTGTCTTCTCACCATAAACCATAGGGCATGGTGAAAGAAAGCCCTAGGCACCCGAGCCCTTCCAGTCACAGAAACAGCCTGTTCTGAGCAAAGCTTAAATAGAGGGGTTTATAGACATGATCAAATACAGGATCAGAGTGGATTTAGAACAACAAGCTTCACATACTTGGTTAAAAACACAGGTTCTCAGTTCTACAACAATTATCTACCTCAAAATATTTGGGAAAAATACCAGCTAGGATGGAAGATCTTACATAAATATTGATCCTAGCAACTGCTGTCCCAGTTATTTTCCCATTCCCAACTTTTGACAGTGGAAACGCCTTACCGTACTGGACCACTTGGTGAAAATGGGACTTTAAAAAACCATCGACGGTCACAGAAGGAGTTTTTCAGGAAACATGCAAACCAACTTTATCTGCAGAATAAACCTCTTACAATGTGAACTCACATTGTGTTCATTGGTTGAAAACATCAAAGGTAAAAATACAGAATAGACCATTTTCATGACAAACATCCTAATGTGTCATAGCAGGAAACACAAAGCTATAGATAATGAACTCTGGTTATTCGCTACTTAGAGCACTTTAGCAGTTTACTGGATCACTTTATTGGATACTTAGCTTCATAAGTTGTACCTTTGCTTTACCTGCTGTGATAACTTAAGTGTTTGCCATGAAGATTTATTCCTCTCTAACTGTAATGAATGTCGACGCTGAAAACATAGACGCACATATTGAACAGGAACAGCAGACTGGCAGCTTTCCACACTGTGTTCAAAGATATGAACAAGATGTCAGACAAAGAATGAGGCAAGACGGCATTTCTTTTTTAGGGGGGGGGAGAGGACGGGGGGTTGGATGAAGGTTCAACTTAAGGATACGATCAGTGCCTGGAAACAACACACTACCCCGGACCATTTCAGCCATGATGCAGCCAACAGACCAGACATCAACTGAAAAATGAAATGACAACCACTACATTAGCATGCAGGACTGAAAAAACAAACAAACAAACAAAAACCTAAAAAGAACAACAGGGCAAATAAAAAAAAAAACAGAAACATGATGTGGTGCCAGGTGATGTGTGACACAAGACAAATGTGAAGAGCATGCAGTTGAGTGCACTCTCAAACCTGGGTCAGCGTCCCACAGAGCCAAAGATCATTCTTTGTAGCTAGCGCAGTGTACCTTTGCAAGTTTAAATATAAGCAGCACAACTTATCTAAGGATGTGTGTTTGAGAGATAATGGCTTCTTCAGGTACACTGAGAAGTGATCATAAGCTTTCAAAAGTGAGACACTGACTTTCAAGGTCCTCTGAAAATGTGGGTTTTTTTGCAGAAAAACACCTTCAATACTCTCACTGCTTTTCATATTGTAGGTTTGGAACTGGTGTACATGGAAAAAAAACATGCTTTGAGATGTTTTTCTCTCATTCAAGTGTAACACTGCACACTCAAAATTCTAAATAGAGCACCGTTGTATTCGGTATGATACTGTGGAGAGAAAACAGAACACTCCTTTGCTTTTTGCTTGTACAAAGAAATGTGGGGGCTTTCACACTTGCAGAAAACTCCTGAAAAACTCCTGATATTTCCAGAAGGAGCTGTATGTGTGAACACAAACAGCTACATTTTCACTTGGACTTCACCCGGAATTTCTCCTGCCAGAGCCCTGGTATTTGTTCCACAGCAAGTCCCGGGTGAGCCGATGTGCACAACAGAATATTCTCCAGAGAAATCAACTCGAGCCAATGGGAGGAGGGAGTGACGTTTATATACTGTGACTGGAGTTAGTGCATGGACTGTTTGCACATGACCGCTACGATCTCCGTGCACCTAATTAAACAGCTGCATTCCATTTTCTGTTCTACAGGATGTTGTTCTCCGCTCTGTTGTTGATGGTGTGATTCTGTGGACCTCACATAGCATTGATATAAAGGAAAAATATTCTCATTATATTGTCGTAAAGCGGACAGGGATAGTCTCCCGCTGTGAGGAGCATAATGTGAACAGGCAGGTCAGGAGAATATCCGGAGCAATCCTATTTTCAGGAGTGCATGTGTGAAAAGGGCTTTATTGAAAGCAGCTGAGGATGAATGAAGACATGTTTTTGCAGTTATATTCCTGACTATAGAGGAGCTAACTTAAATTCTATTTCAGGTTTTTTCAAGCGACTGTCGTGGTGCTTGAAAGAAACAGTGTCTTGTGAGTGTTTGAGTGTGTGTATCTGAAGGGAGAGCAGGTAGGCGGCTGCAAGTCAAGGTGTCAGGCAGATCTGAGAAATAGAATTTGTATAGTTGCTCTCAGGAAATGATCTCCATGCGATCCATAAGATGAAAACGGCAAAAACAAAAAAACATGAAGAGACGTTAAGATGTTTGTGAGCTTTGTTGGGTTTTTTTTGTTTCGAACGTAATGCCAGACACTGCTGCAAGCAGCTTAAGGATACAATCCCTTCCTGGAAAAAGGATTTTGTGGCGAACCATTTCTGCCATAATACAGCCCACAGCCCAAATATCCACTACATGTGCGCAGCATTAAAGGAGGGAGAAGAGAATAAGCAAACAAAATGCAACGTCAGCAGGAAGAACTAGAGTTTGGGGTCAAGAGGACTTAGGATGAGAGAGTATTAGTAGTAACAAGATTCTCCTGAGTTCTGCTCTTATGGGAGCATTACTACCATGCATCGACCTCATTAAGCCCGTTAAAAAGAAATATTCTTCCAAAACTCGAAAAAAAATCAAAAGCTTATATAGTTTTATATAGTTTTTATATTATCCAGCTATTACGGTTGTATAGAGGCAACTTTACTTGTAGCAAAAAAAATAAAATTAGACAGGAAGACAGACACCACTCCCGTGAGTATTCAGTTAGAACCAGGAGACAGTAATGCTGCCTTCATGGACTCCTCGGAAATAACAGTATTTACCATATTTATGAGTAATAAGCTCCAAAGTGGTAATTGCTGATGGGAAATTGAAAAATTTGAATGATACCAGAGTGGCCAGGTTGCGACCTTTGTGTGACGTTTAAGGGCAAGAAAAGTGGCAGAAAGCTTAGAAACAGTAAAACAGGAAATAGTAGCTATCCTTTATTTTTAGTAGTCGCAATTTTTCATATATGCATCTATTAGCTGTAGCAAGCAAGAAAACTTTTAACTATAAAGCATGCCAGGCGAGTATATTAACATTGATAACAATGTTTACTAGATGCACATTGTATGTTCTTTATTCTGTCACTGAAGCACAAATTAGCTTTTTGCTACTTGCCTTAGGTCAATAAACATCAACCACTAAAAAAACAATATGACCTCTAGCGCTCTTTTTCCAACAGGAGCATTTGAATGAGTGTATGTCGGCATCACGACAGCACAACTCGGAAATACGATGTTTCAGAGGAGAACGTGAAGGCAGCATAATTCTAGGTTAGCTTAGCTTAAAGACCGGAAACGATGAAACAGCTAGCGGGGCTCTGTCCAAAGTAAGAACAATCTGCATAAAAGCACTGCCAAAGCAAAAATACAACAACAACAAAAATTTCTTGAAGCCTCCCCACCCCACCCCGCCTTGTTTGGCATAAAACAACATATAACTCTGACCTTATCCAGGCTAGCTGTTTTCACCTTCTACCAGTCTCCATGCTATGCTAAGTTAACTGTCACCACTTCTTAGTTTTGTATCTAATAAACACAATTAGGAGTGTTTTTTTTAATCTTTCCATCTAACATGAAGCTAATTAGCACACTTCTCAACATGTTGAAGTATTCCTTTAAGAGTGTCTTTCATAAACCAGGATATGTCCAGAGCAGGAGCACCGAGTGAAACTGCTGAAGCATGCATCCAAGTGCCTGTATTCATTCCTGCATTTCTTTTAGCCAGGCTGTTAGGAGCACAGGACAGGCAACCTCTTAATAAAACATCAAAAGGCATGCTAAAGCACTGCTGGGAACTGGAGACCCCAGACAGGAAGTTTCCCACAAAGCACCGATGCCCAACATGCCAACTTCCCCCCCTGAGTGTGACCTTTACAGGAACAAGGAGTGTGTGTATTTTAGTGTGAGTGTGTGTGGTTGGGAGGTGCTGAAATTAAAACATCCTGGGAAGGGGGGCCCATGCAACAGGCCAGGCAGCAGCTTAGGAGCTCCTCATTGGCCAGTCCCTTTTCAAGAAGCTGCTCTCCTCCACTCACCATTGGCCTGGTAGCCCATGCCCAGGATGACTTCAGGGGCGCGGTAGTAGCGGGTGACCACATAGGGTGTCATGAGGAGGCCAGTGGCGGCTGTCCTGGCCAGGCCAAAGTCCAGGATCTTCAGTGTGCAGTCTGATTTCACCACTATGTTGCTGGGCTTCAGATCCTGTACAGAAAACACACACGGACACTTTAGAGTTTAGAGCGAGGAGGGAGAGCTCTTACAGCTATTAAAAAGCACTTTATAGAAATAGTCCTGTTACTGATGGTCTGGTTTGCTTTTGTAGGACATAAAGAGGCCACACTATAAAGTTCAGTCTGTTTTATAACAAGTATAACAAGAACGCCTCACAGGAGCTTTGAGCAAAAAGGCAGAAAAAAAGGCAAAGACAGATAAGACAGGGGCGGTGGCTCAGTTGGTGAAGTCAGCCGTCAATTAACCGGAAGGTCGGGGGTTCAATCCCCAACTCTTGCTGCCACTGTTCGACGTATCCTTGGGCAAAACACTTAACCACATGTAGCTCAGGCAGCGTATGAATGTGTATGAATGGGATTAGTGACTTCTGATGGTCTCACTACATAGCAACCTCTACCGTTTGACCTGCGATGTAAAAGAGCCTTGAAAAGTCAGGAGACTAGAAAATACAAGCTCAAGTCCATTTACCATACAGACCATCTCTCATCGCCTTATTTGCCAGCAGTGTTAGCATGCAGTTAGGCAGAGAGGATTAGCTAGAATAATGAAAAAAAAATATATATATAGATACGCGCCTGTTTAGTTAGTGGAAGGAAACTTCAGAACAGCGGCTGTGGAGTGGGTAGTGTTTTAGAAAAGTTTGTCCATATTTACTTCAGTACTTCGATGCTGGCAAACCAGCCTCCTCTTTGCAAGTGCTTGAACACTTTATATAAAAAAAATCATTCAAGTACTCAAACATGGAAATGACTTCAAATGGCCCTCTCACCCAGTACAAATCGTTACTCTCATAATCATAAACATCGCTTCTTGACAATGAAATCGTCAAATGCTGAGGCTCAAGTAGCTCAGTCGATTGTGCTTGACTTCCTGAATAGGTAGGAGAGTGTTTTGAAGAGAGAGAGAGAGAGTGCTAAGCAACCCTGAGCATCTTCGACAGGACTGGAGAGCTCTCATCGCGGAGACAACGCCCACAAAGAACAACAGAGCCGACTCTTTGGCGATCCATGACTCATGTTGCATCTGTTCACCTTTCCGAAAGCTTTGGCGTGCCGAGCCGCGCTGATGCAAGCCCGGCTGGTTAGCTCCGCCTGTGGCTCAATTAGTTCTGGCTGGCAGAGCAGGAAGAGCTCTGCTAATCTACTGCTGCATCTTCCACTGAGGGTGATTGACAGAGTGCCGGCAGTGTGTGTGCGAGAGTGTGTGTTATTGACTCTGTGCGCTTGAATACAAGAGTGATCATTTGTACACTCCTGCTGATGCTTCAGGGTGTGTGTGTGTGTGTGTGTGTGTGTGTGTGTGTGTCATCTTGCATCTGTTGATTAAAAGTAACCAAGCACCTGTGTGTATCTGTGTGTCCTTAACTGCCATTTGTTCATCCTTTCTGCAGCAGAACAACCTGTTCACATTTAGCTGTGTAATCTGGCCATTTTAAATATTACCTGAGTGTGGAGATACACACACACACACACACACACACACACACACACACACACACACACACACACACACACACACACACACACACACACACACACACACACACACACACACACACACACACACACACACACACACACACACACACACACACACACACACACACACACACACACACACACACACACACACACACACACACACACACACACACACACACACACACACACACACACACACACACACACACATATAATCAGCAATAAAGGTTGCTCTGCTATATAAGACACAGTCTGTTTTGGGGGGTTTTCCCAGAGAGAGAACTCGTCCACCTGCATGACAATTTCTATCGTGTTCAGCCAAGTCCACGATGTGCAGTTTCTGTACAGCTGTGTCGCTCTGCCATCTGTACCATCTGTTTTAGCTTTGTGGAGTTTGCACTTCTACTAGCTACAGTACAGTAGTTTAAGTCTCAGCCTACAGTGTAAGTTTTAAAGTACAGACCCTCAGCCCTGCGAGTCATGCTGCCAATCACCGCTGCTGCTGGTCACTCGTCAACTTTAATATAGAAGTCTTTCAATCACTCCACACAGTTGATTTACGGAACAACATACCAATGATGGTGGCGGCTGCACTTCACGGTGCGTGTGTCACGTTTTATACTGGTATAATGGTTGCACCGGTGTATAACATTTTTAGATGCAAAAACTGGTATTTAAAGATTTCTACGGTAAGTGAAATCACATCCTATGAGCTCCCACATTAGTGGAAAGACCTGTGTGAGGTTTGTTGATAAATCTGAAACATCACATCAAGCTGCTTCAACGTAGTTGGTTGGTAACATAAGAATTGTTCATATCATTTGTTGGATTGCTGGAGCTTCGTGATTCTTTGCATCCTAACCTCCTTTCATAGTTAGTTCTTGAAATGTATTACAAAGCAAAGAAGGTTGTATCATGTTTTAAGCTGTTAACATTGCAATACAAAATAGAATACTATGTATGATAATGAAAGATAAGACAAATGTATGCGTTTGGTGACATTCATACAGTCTGTTTAACCTTACTTGTGATTTTGAAACGATGCTGCCTGAGGTCACTAATCTCCTTTCCAAACAAAAAGCAGAGAAATGTAAAGAAAAGACGGGCTGTGTTCTAAAGAGAGTTTGGGGCTTGACTCCATCTTGGCTTGTTAAAGTGACTTCCTGAGGCCTTGTCATCATGATCATCTCCAAAAATGTTCTTTTCTAACATTCAGCAACAAGGAAAAAAAAGTTTCCCTCCAAAATAGTTGCACTTTGGTACTTTTAGGTGGTCGTACATGCCGTTTTACATCAGCATGTTAGTTTAAGCTTACATCTACGTGCCTTCTTTGTAACATCTAAGCTTATGTATGCAGAGGAAATGCATGCAAACAGTTGTGCGTGTTGGCTCATTTAACATAACATAAGCACATCTCACCCTGTGTATGATGCCAGCAGCGTGCAGGTGTTTGATTCCACACAGCATCTGGTAGAGCAGGTAGGACAGCCTCTCGTGGTCCAGCTCCATCTGGATCACCTGGCAGAGGTTAGCATCCATCAGCTCCATCACCAGATACCTGCGGAGAGTCCACACTGGGCTTAAAATAAATCAGAGACATGGAGCATTTTTTTTAAATAGCTCGTACTGCAACTAAAACAACTAAGCATTATGACCAAACTGATGTGTGAGTTATCTGAAGCATTTAGATGACTTATCTGTCTTTATATTCAACGTATTGACTCATATGTCTTCATATAGCTTTGGATTGAAATCCACCTTTCCTTTGGATTGTTTGAAGTTTTTTGGCTTTCTCATGAACAAATTAAAAAAAAAGAGTTCAAACCAGAGTGCTGTTGTCTTGTGTCCCACTCACATGCACTTTCCTTGGCATTTAGGAAGTGACAGTAAGTGTTCTGCTTCTCAAAAACTGTGATGACGTTATGCTATCTGGCAGCTGTTATATCATCAGTCCCTACAATCCTCCCACATGGTAGAACGACCTTCTGACTTTTTTTTTTATACAAAAAAGAACATCCCGGTAACAGAGAGTTCAGATTGATACCATGAACAAGAAGTAGAACGTATGTATGTACTGTGTGTATGACTAAAAAAAACACTGATCATAAGTGTTTTTGGGCTAGATTCAGTAAATTGTATAAATGCTGAAATCCACCTCCTTAGAAACGGTTAAATGCACTGTGATGCGCTGTGTAATGAAAGTATACATAAGTATACATTTAAGGTACTCGAACACTGAGGGAAATGGAGTGTTCCTGCTTCATCCTCTCACTGTGGGTTTGCTCTGCAGCCCTCTGGCTACGATTTGTCCAGTTTCCCTTTTAGCTCCAATCAGGCAGACACAGTGCGCTCAAACACACACACTCACACACACACACACAAAGCTTCCAGTGGATGGCATTAATCATGTTTGTTCCCGTCATACTTGGAGAAACCATCACTCCCCCCCCCCACATCTCAGTTCTCTGCAATTCTTAAGCCAGTTTTCACTCACATGGACGTCTTCTCGACTTGGAAACACATCAAGGACGCCGCCAAATATACCCCAAAACTGATTTCATGAAAGGCACTGTCCACACAAATTTTTCTCCTTTTTATTTCTATTAATTTGTATTTCCCTTATGAGCCTCATGAGGACTTGTGCATGGTTAAATGTAAAAAAAACAACTAATAAATAAATGTATACAAACAGGGAAACAAGACTTCGGACAGAGACAGTGTCCCTCTATCAATGCCACCCAAGAGTTATTCTATAATCCATGTAAAGGAAGCTTGTGTTTTGACAGCAGATTGTTTTTTCTGATCCTTTATATCAAACATGGTCATCTTTAAGTCACTGAGGCTCTAGTCTATGTTCTTGTTTACTTCAAGATGAAACATTTCCTCTGACTGAATGTGGTTAATATAAAGTGTTTAAAATGTTAAACCACTAAAAGAGATTAGGTGTTTTATAATTATTCCTTGACATGCTGTATTATGTACTTGTACTAAGGCAGAATAATACACTAAACACAGATCCCGCTACACTGCAGCAAGCCCCTAAAAGTCATAGACGATCCCCTCAGCTCCCAGCATGCCACATCCGTATTGATTTTACAAAGTGGCAGCGAGCAGATGTTATCCGGCTCAGTGATACTTACACGTCTTGGAATTCTTCCAGTGTCTTCTGTGGTGTGAATACATTTAATAGCCGATAATCTGCCAAATAAAAAGCACAGTTATTACTTTGTATCTGGGGGGGGGGGAATGAAGGATTCGTAATGAATGACGTCATCATCGCCCATCTCTCTGAACCAGCAGCAGGACAGCAGCTGGAGCCAGAGCATCATTAATGAATAATAACAGGAAACACCCTCATTTAACCTTCTAAAGGCCGATTAATCACCCAGCCGATAATATATCAGCCGATATATCAGCACTTCAAGTAACTATCGGTATCGGCTAATTTGATAGCAGATAGTTCTAGATTTATTTACGAGTTGAAAAGCATTCATTTAGGTTTCATTGTATTACACTAGCAGTTCTTTTTCAGCAGCAGAGTTTGCTTTATGGATAGAGATGCACCGATCCACTGTTCCGAAAAGATTCTGATATGTGTGATAGTGGTATAGTGTTATCATTGTTGGTACTATGTGTAAAGCTACACAAAGCTTAAGTAAACCTGGCATTGCATTGCGCTGACTTCACAAACAGGAAGCATCAACACCTTTGAGGTTTTCAAATTAAATGTTTTAAACTTGAAGTGTACTTTTGATCATATCGAAAGAGCTGTTCCATCTCGTCTGAACGTCGCCATGGAGACGGTTTGTGGACACTTGTCTGAACTTGTGACTGTGCGAGCTGAGAATGTTTAAAGATCTTCCTTGATCAGTGACATGATCGGTTCAATATCCGATACGTGAATTACGTCAATATCAGACCCAATATTGACATTAGATCGGATCAGTTTTATGTAACAACCATTATCACTCTCTACAGATCATAGACAGATCTAAGAGAGATAACGGCCAATATATCGGAATACATTTTTTTCGCTCCTATATTGGTACTGATATCGCACCCGATAATCCCATATCGGCCGGGCTCTAGTAAATTCTGTTATTTCTGTGAAGTGTTCATTGCTGCCACATGTCTATTCATCACATTACTTTTGACTTCTAAAGCTGTAGGTCTGTATCAAAAGGAAGCACACTTCAACATAAAAGGGCCAATCAGATGTCACAGCTCAAAATGTACCACTCTCTTTGGTAAACATGTTTTTAAAAAAAAAAACAAGAGAAAAAGTCAAAGCTCTTACGTTCTTGTGGTTGACACATTTCATGAGCACCAGTTCTCTGTAGGCCCGCTTCGCGTGAGTTTGATTCTGAAATGGTCGGCTCAGTTTCTTGATGGCAACATTCCTTTCAAAGTTGTGATCATACGCTGAGCTGGAGAGAAAATGAAAAAGAAACATTACTCACTAATATATTTCAAGAAGCATACGAACAACAAAGAACATGTAGCCCATCTCTGATGACAACACGCTGACTCTATAACCATTTGCATCTTTTCTAATGGTTTGATGAATGCTGAAGATGTGATGAAAGTTCAGGTTGTGCTATATCAACACATATAAGGGCAGTTTAGAAAAATAAGTAAAGAACAGGGGCTTCATGTGCGCTGCTTCCTTACTGAAAGATGGCGTACAAAAAAGGAAATTTCCTTACTCAAAGAAATTTCCACATGTATAAAAGCCGTTCATGGACACATGAGCCCGCCTGATGTCAGCAACGTTCAGAGCCAATGGCTGCCGAGAACTAAAAGTTGCATCAGTAGATTCAATCTAATCACCTGACAGGATCTGAGTGGGAAGAAGATATCTGCAGCTATCATCATTGATTCATACCCATTATTGTTTTTGCTTTCATTATGAAATGCAAAAACAATAACAGAACTTCGGTTGACTGAGAGGTCGGAATTTAGAAATAAAACAAAAACAAATGACTCACTAGGGAAACACTTTGAGATGTATTTCTTAATTCTATGAGTCTAAGAAATAAAAGATGAGGACTCTAAAAACAATTAATTGAAGATTCTTTTGCAGGTTTGTGAGACGAATATTCACCCCCACCTTTTTTAATTGAACAAGAATGAATTCACAGAAACTTAATTTAATCATTTTCAGGATGTATCTACCAAATCCAATGGAGCCGAGTAAACCTGGAGATGGCTAAGTTCTCATCATGGGACCTACATGAGTGACCTTCAGCCATTGTCATTGATGCATAGCAAACAACATCCACTAAAGAAAACAACATTAGATGAAATTGAATACTATATCAAAGGCTGATTAGGTTGATAAGTGAACGTGTCTTTAGTATTTCTGTCACACTAATAGTTCAAAAGTCAAGACAGTATTTTTTATTCTTTCTTACCAGACTATTCCCTGTGCTCCTGATCCGATGGGTCTGAGGTTCTGGTAGCGCTTTAAAACCATAAAAGTTGAATCTCCTACATCTATACTGTAGTACTCCTTTTCACGCTTGTTCCGGTTCATGGTGAAGCCTTGGACCTGCGCTGTGGCATCCAAGATGAGCTCTCCTCTCAAGACCTGCAGTTTGTGAAGAGGAAAAGAGGTCATTGTTTTTAACTCCCATCTTCAGCATTACATGTCATACTTTCTCTCCCAGCATCCACCACAGTCATATTAAACCAGGAAGCCTGGAATTTCCAAAACAAGAATCAGATTCTTTTATTAAATGCTTTGAAACTTTAAAAAAGGAGATAGTCCATTTTCTCTATTTACAACGGTGCAAATACAATCTATTGATGTTGCTTCAACCTGATGAAAAACCTTGATTGAACACGATTTGGTATGTGCAAGTCAACAAAGTCATGCTTTAATCCTTGAGTGAGGTTTATCAATGGTAATGAGTCTGATATAAAACCCAAAGGTCCAGGCACTGAAGCAAGCAAGCAGCGAGAGCCACAGAGGAAGCTGGGCTTCATACCGGCTCTGAAGACGACGGATCATTAGTGAAATTTGGAACATTGTACTGAGAAGGTCAGCTTTTGTCATGATAGCTGTACGTTCCCTGGACAATGAACTGACCTCTGGAATTATGAAACAACAGATAACCCCCCCCCACCCCCCTTCAGTATCCATCAGCCTGCCCTCCTTCATGCTTGCCTCTCCGCTGCACTTGTCTTCTTATTCTTGGCGCTGTTCTATCAATCTTCACTCCTTTCCTCCATTATTCTTTCTCTTCTATTGTTAAGGCTGCAGTCAAATCTGAGATGAGCTTTTGTCAAGAGATCAAGAGATAGAGTAGAAACCAAATCAAGACTTCAACCAGTGCAATTAAATCCTATCCAAGGATCAATTAGCTACCTTCTCTGCGATGAGCAACCTCATATTTTTTTTAAATCTACCTCTTATATGACATCAAATTCCTTGAGGAAGATTAACTGCGTACTTGTATTTGGTTTAAATGACAATAAAGAAATCTTGACTTGACATTATAACTGGCCCACTGGCCTGGAGGCATGAGTGAAATATTCCAGGGCAGCTAACTGCATGTCCACTGACCGATTGTGTGAGCTAAAATAACGCCTAAAAAATTAAAATAAAACAGTGACACATAATTGACTAAACAACGTTTAGTCAGCCTGTGATACTGGCGTTTTGTCATTGATTCTTGATCATTTCTTGAATTACTACAGCGTCGATGTTTCATGAGCTTCTGAGCATGTGTACCATAGTTGAAAGGCAAACGCCAACGACTGCTTTACTGTTGTTAGGTATGGGTACCATTACCCGGGTACTTGTTGACATTATTACCCGAGTAACATTTGATTACTCGCGCAGTCTCGCACGTACGCTGTCATAAGCAACAAATAGTTCAATTTAATTAGCGCAACATGTGTATCTGAGTTTTCTGGATTTGCTTACTGAATATATTTAGTAATAAAATAATTAAACAGCACACAGATGTGTAACTCTATTCCAGCTGCGACTTCAGCCTTATTCCATTAACTCATAATGGGCGCAGCAAGCTGGATTACGGCAACAAAAACGGCTTTACGGCAGCTACGGTAACTTTCTAGGAACACTTGACTCCAAAGACGAGAGCACACAAAATTTTTTTAAAAAGTTATCAAAAGGCAATGATAACGTTCATGTGAGATCTATCCATCCATTATATATACTGCTTTTTTGTCCTGTTCGGGGTCACAGGGGGGATCCCAGCTGTCACTGGGCGAGAGGCAGGGTACATCTGGACTGTCAATCACAGGGCTGCGTGTAAGATATGTGGCGTTAAACTTGCACCTCATAGAAATACTAAAAGGGAGAGAAAAGTCCAGCCACACAGGCCAGAGTTATGGAGTTGGATAGGACAGAAAATGTAGTCTTTTGCCAAATCTTTCGATCAATGCCGACACATGTGGACAAGTTGGTTGAGTATAGTTTTGCTCGGGAATAGAAAGTAATGTTCCTGGGCCAGTGGCACGGCTAAGGGCAAATTCAACTTAACTCTCAATCCCTGCACTCAAAGGGGAGAAGACTTTTTTTTCGATAGACAGCAAATCAAATCAAATTCTAAAAGTGTCTGGAAACTAACAACAGGATGCCAGAAAATAAAAAAGTCTTTACATTGAACTCTGCTTGTTTAACCCTCCTGCCTCCTCCTCTCCTACACTGTTTCATCCTTTCCGCTTCTACTCTTCTTTGTCTCTCCTCTGCCTCGGCTGCAGACAGGGAACTGAACCATGCAGTGCAGACGTACAGGGATGAATAAAAGGTTTAGAGAACTCAGTGAAGTTCTGTGCTTTTATCGTGCATCAAGAGAGAAACTGCAAAACGTTTGTCATAAAGGTCAAGCACTTGAGCATATACCCTTGTAGATGCAGAAACAGAAAAATAAATATGACACACGGCAGCAGGAGGTAAAGACTGTTGCTCTACCTCCTGCTGCCGTTTCATAAGCTGATATATTCAACATCATCCCTAACATGGCATGTATCACCTTGCACAGTCACAAAATTAACTGGTTCATGTATACTACTATTCATCCCCATGTGATGCCTCCGTTTTCCCTCGCCGCCCTGTCAAAGTTACGGAGGCATGATCGTGGAACGAAATTGTATCGCTACTGAGCTGGGAATCAGAGATAGTAGAAAGAGGCACAACAGAGACTGAAAAAAAAAAAAGTCACCTGTGTAAACAGTGGAGTCAACAGGACGGAACAGTGTATGCATGAGAGGCTCTTGTTAACACATCTGCACCTTTTTTGTTTTTTTTCCTGCAACACTGTAACGCTGTTTGAAATCACACAGCAGATGCCACTGTTTGGGTCAAGGTAAAATTATGAAAAATTATATAATGCCAGAGCTGCAATACAACTATATTTCTGTGACTCTGTCTAATAAGCGCTTCAGAATGTGACGCTATAGTAAAAGAGTCAACACTCACACTAGAAGTAGCTTATACAAAATACTGGTAATATATTTAAATGCACAGTGACTGATCTTTTTAAAGCTACCTGTGTAACAGTTTTAATTGTGGACTGTACCTTTAAGACACACTGTGTTGCTAGGTTACTCCCCATCTGCAATAATGAAGCTATATTATATTCTCAGCTCTTTGAAAGTGTTCGGTGCTTCAGCTTTGGAACTACTTGAAATATCTAGAAGGATGATTTTGTTTTACAGCATTAGGAGGCAAAGATTAAGTCAAGCCTGAATTCTGAAGAAGGGCTGCAAAATAAATCGCACAATGATCACAACACAAAAGTCTGAATCCTATCTTTGAGTAGAAAAAAGTCAGTTTAAGCACAGGTGCCTGGCATTCACATTCAGCATCAGACATCAGATGGATACGACGAGTGCTTGCAATTCGCAGCATTCGGGCCAATCAGATGACGCCCCAGCTGGTCATCAGCTGCCCTTAGAGTAGTTGGGGTCAATTTGGTTGTTAGCTCGTGTGTTAGTGGAGGACGGAGAGCGAATATTGAGGAGGTGAGAAAGAACAACATATTCTGCCGATTCATTCCGAGGCTTATTGGATGGGTACAATTTTAACTCGCTCATGAATCTAAAATTCTCGGCTTCTTCAAATAACAGTTCAAGACACAATGAAGAATTTGTGCACAATGTAAAAGTCTTCATTTGACAGCACGACAAGCACTAGAAGGACTGAAAAGTGGGGTCAAAGCTTGTATGCTGTTTGTCACATGTAATATATTCATCAAGTCGAAACGAGTTGCGATGTTGTTATTCAGTGAATTCAATGTGAATTTCCTTCTTCTGTCGTTATCATATTTTTCTGCGTCTGTGATGATGGTCACCGTGCTCAGAGGCATCATATCTTTCCCTATGAACCCTGTTCATGTCCGAGTTATTTTAAACTTCATTCATGGAGTGATGCTTTCAAACATTATAGCCAGTGATCCCTGGCAGGTTGTTTCAGGCTTACTTGACAACATCTTGGCAATTCAACTATCATACATGTTTTGTGGTGTGTTTTTTTTTTTTAAAGGCCGATACAGGTCAGTGTGAGGTAGCAACGTTACCAAGGCAGTTTTCTGCACAATACATGACACTGTGCAGCCTCTTCCTTTTTTTTTAAATCCTAAATAGTTCCACACAACAGACCTTAGATACTAAAGTGTGCACAGTGCCAGGTTCTGTCAACCCTGGGGCCATTGTTCAACAGGTCAAAGTGTTGACTTGACTGCCAAGTTGTTGCTTCCGCTTTTAGCCGGCGGCTCTACTCTCACTTTCCATGCCACGTGACCATGAGCGTAATCGCAGCCTTTGTGGTTAGAAAATCTAATTTGATCATATCACGATATTATCGTGAAATGCAATGAACTGTTCAGCCCTTATCACAACTCAGAAACTGAACAGATTGTTCAGATGGCTTTTATTGGAGCACTTTTACCATTCACTCAGTGTTGATGTGCAAAGTGTTCCACATTTGAACTTCTTTTAACTTAAGTCTAACACAATCATGCCAAAACCCTGCAGGTTTTCCTTGTTTAGTGCAGACCTATAGGCAGCCACATGTCATACTTTATACTGATCCCCACATAAGTGAAAATGTCATCTTCATTTGCAAGCACGACCTGGCTTCAAAGGAACCAGAAATAACATGTAAGCCACTTACTCCAGCATGCTTTTCAGAAAAATAAATCAAATATAGGCCACATTGGAAAGAAGGTGTGTACTCATGTCAAGTTCTATAAGCTACAGGAAGGAAGCTGGAGAATATAAAATATGTGTAAGCTCATGTTAGGCTTCAGTATGAGGTGTGTGACATATGTGCTGTTCTGTCTTTAGGAGGAGAGAACTTCAGACTGTGAGGATCTATGGCAGCATGCAAAGATAGGGGTGGGGATGTCATCACCTTTGTGTGATTTAAACCGTTTTCACATATGCACTCCTGAAAATATCTAGATTATGTCAGAAGGACTGCCCTGGATATTCTCCTGGCCTGGCTGTTCATATATGCTCCTCACAGCGGGAGTATATCCCTGTCAGACGGGAGGGGAGGGGAGGGGAGGGGAGGGGCAGGGGGTCTCCCCAGGTAAGACAAAATGTAAAAAAAAATGGCTTGGAAGTAGTGGACGAAGAAACAGAGTCTGCTATAGGACGCTATAATGAGAATATTTGCCTTTACATCAATGCTATGTGTAGTTCAACGGAATCAAACTATCAACAAAAGAGCGGAGGACAACGTACTGAAGAACAGAAAACATAATGCAGTCGTTTAATTATGAGCACGGGTAGTGGTCGCATGTATACACCGTGCAGCCGTCACAGTATATAAACGTCACCCCCCCCCCCGCGCACACCCCCGCCATTGGCTCGAGGTGAATTCTCCGGATAATATCCTGCTGCATTCTCACATCAGCTCGCTCGGACTTGCTGCGTAAAAAAATACTAGGCAGCTGGCAGGAGACAATCCGGCTGTTTGCGTTCAGAGTTTTTCAGGAGTTTCCTGCAAGTGTGAAAGCACTATTATACATCTGTGTCCTATCCCCAAATAAACGAGTATGCAAGTAGAAGCTGGTTTGTAATCAAGTAGGGTCAGATATTGTAGATCAAACAAAACTACAGCTACAATGTTACATTCTTCATCTCACCATGTCCCACATTTGGGGGCCCAAGGTCATTCAGATCTAATGTTCAACTTACAGTAATGCTCTGCTGTAACATAACAACACTTCAAGCATCATCGGAGGTTTCATAAGAACCACAGCTGACACATTTTTGACCATCCATTTTAAATCACAGGCTGTCAGGGAATGATGTCTCTAACAACCAGGCAGAGCATTACAGATTGCTGTGTCATAGATTGACAGGTATGTCTTAGGTACAGGTAAACAGCCATTCTCTTTGGCAGGCCGGTCAGGTCAGCTCCTGGTCACTCTGGACATCGTGACTTTACTGTCCGGACTCTTACAAATAGATCGAGGTTTGTGTTATCTATGCAGCCCAGACTGAGACCGCTGGCAATTTGGCAGAGTTGGATTTTATCTTTGAACTGCTCACATCCAGCAGTAATGGCTGCTGACAAGAGCCATGAGGGCAGAATCAGTGCCAAGTTTGGGTAAATAAAGGCACTGAAGCACATTTCTCTCCTGATTGTCTAAAGGGACATTTATAACTCAAGCTTCAAGCTTTAATCTAGCCAATCCTAACCAATGCCCTCGTCATTAAAGAGGGCATTTATTAAGATACTGAAAGTGGGTAGTGCAAAGAGCAATTCACAAGCTTAAGCAGGAATCATGCAGACATATCTAATAATATGGAATACATTTGATCCACTCATTAAAGACTTGATGATGTTAAAGATATCCACCGATGGGGTGCCGAAAAGCCTAGCGGTTATGTTGCGTGCCCCATGAACGAAGGCTATAATCCTTGTCGCAGTGGTCGAGGGTTCAAATCCAACATCGCCCCTATGCTGCATGTCATCCCCCACTCTTCCCTCCCAACATATCCTGTATCTCTTCAGCTGTTTTATCCAATAAAGACTAAAATGCCCCAAAAAACATCTTTAAAAAAAAAAAGGTACAAAAGATTTCCAATGATCACAAAAGAAAATGTGCTAAATAAGAAAATTGGACAAGAATAATGCTTGAAAACGTAGAGTTGAGATCACATCGGTGGTTTGGCACGTACTTAGTCCACTTGAGCCCCGTTTGGCCACACAATGCGTTTTTTAAAGTCATGTTATACTGTTTTCATGTTATCGAAGAAGACAATAGTGAAGGCCAACAATGACAAGACTCTTTTTAACAAAGCCTTAGTTCCTCAAACCAACATCCTCTGCAGAAAACAGCAAGGTGTTCAGAGAAACACAATTTCTATTACTAGTAATGGCTTTTTTTTTTTTTTTTTTTTTTTTTAAAACACCCCACCAACACTGGTGATCTAGGTTCTAACAAAATAAATGGTGCAGACAGGCAACACCTTAAAGGGCCTGACACACCAAGCAGGCAGCAAAGAACTAGTGGCGACCAAGGCCCCCTGTGACCCGGCGCACAATGCCTTTTGTTTTGGCCAAAAAGTTGCACTAGAACACACCGAAAAGACTACAGCCGACGGCCAACAACCACATACTTTCTGCACATGCGTGAGAGGCAATAACGGTCCATACCAGCAGGCGGCGGTAGTCTGTAATTGTTATCCCAAAAAGAATAGAAGTAGCGCTTCCATATTTCTTTTCGTGCACTGGCTCTCCTGTTTCGCTTACCTGAACAGCCAATCAGAGAGATTCCTACCCCCCCAACCGCGACGGCTCACGCCTATCCAACATGTGAAATCGGCCAAAAAAACTAGGTGTGCGTCAGGGCCTTTAAACGGAGGATTTTAACTGATGATGATCTCTGCTCTGCCCCTCGATGGATTCGCTCAAAGAACCTGCCTTTGCCCTCAACCCTGGGTGTTTGAGCCGCGGTATATTGTTGTGTTTGTGTCAGAGGTCGTCCCTTTCTGCCGGGTAAACACGGGACAAGCACATGCTACTTTTCGGTCTGTTCATGGATGTTATGAGACTTGCATCATGACATGAGAAAAACTGCCTATTGCCTTCGGATTGTTTCATTTTGCAATGACAATATGACGATGGAGAAATACAAATGTGTGATAAGTATATATTACTGCCCCCTTAAGACAAAAAAACAAATAATGCACTCAATTTAACAACCATCAAATGGCTAAACGTATTAAGACTATTTAAAAAAAGGAAAATGATTTATTCACAACTCAATTTTCACACAAATCTGCCGCTCTAACTCAAAGAGGCCTCCAGATTTTAAAGTGGTTGTATCATGAGTAAACCAGCAGCCATATTACGATCTCTGCAGGCCACCTTTCACTTTTGGTGCAGGAATCGGATTTCTTGGGGCTCGTGTCTGACCACCGCTGGTCTCTTGGCAAGTTGTTCAGGAAGCCTTTCAAGCAATGTGCATTGCAGTGTGTCAGATGCACAACCCACATATGACTTCAGGTACTAATGGGAACTTCCCTTACATTATTAATTTCATTAAAATTGACAATTTGATGTACCACAAAACTGCTGATGTTATCCCCTAGCCTGATTAGCATGCCTGCTTCAGTGTACACATATAATCTGATACTTGCAAACAAATCTGATCAATGAAACAAAACAAAAAAATCACACTGCAACATTGTGCAATTGCCAAGAAAGAATGTTTGCATTCAAGTCTGAACTGGTAGGTCAGTGAGGCCTTTACATAAATAACAGGAAAACGAAACACAATCACACTTCAGCTTTGCATAACACCACATAGTGATCTTCCCTATACTTTTGTCTTGTTATAACATTTTTATTGATGCTACAACAGTGTGCAAACAAAAGTGTGCACCCTCCTGTGCTCGGTTCACAGGGTATGTATTAAGCTTGTCCTTGTTTCAAGCTATTAGAAATGAATATTAATGATAATACCAAAGCAGTAAACATTAGCATGGGGTGTATTCAAAGGCTTCAATGCGTGATTTCTGTTTACACTGTAGACATTATCGTCCTTAGGTGGCTACACACTGGAGGTCACAGCGTTTCATTTCAAAGTTTAACTAGTGTCATGACTGGCAACACCACCCAGGATACAGTACAAGCAGTGCTAATGTGTGTGTAGCAGTACTTGGAGAGGTGACAGTAGTGTGCTTCCCAGTGTAGCCACTCAGTCTGGTTGCCTTCACCAGTTAGGCCAGACCTGTCCTGCCTGCTGTGGTGGTCACCATGTACATTAGAGCAACACCTATTTACAGTAACATGTCTAACCCAAATTTGTCATTTCCCATCCCCCAACGACTGACAGTAACACGTCAAACATGTCTCACAGGAATAAATAAAATCCATATGTGGAGCTCACCCCTCTCCGGTTAATCCAACAGTGTCGACCCGCAGTCGCTGTTTCTGCCTCCCGGAGACTCAACCCGGACGGTGTGGGGGGGGTTTTTTTAGAGAGAAAACAGCTCTTTAATCCTTTCTTTTCCAGCAGCTACACTCTCGTTTCCCTCACACTAGCAGGCCAGGGTCATCACAAAATACATCTGTAGCTTCTACGTAGTCTAATCTTTGTGCTTCCGTGACACAAGCAGTTTCTGCCATTTCATACCAACGTCGTCGAAACCTTGCGATGTTTCCTCGGCTGCACAATGAGGAGCAGGGGAGCGTTCAAGACCGCCTGCGCGTCCCCGGCAGACACTCCAGGGAAGCGGAAGTGACGATTTCGCAACGTTTTGATATGGTACTGGAAACATACATACTGAAGACATAGAAGATCTATTTCAGACATATTTATGTGATTAAAAATACATTAAACTACATACTATAAATATATTCAGTATACATAATTACATAGGCGTTCATGGAAAAGTTACACAACAATTTAGCCACATAGTTAGCATGTTAGGCAGCATAAGGTTTATTCCTTTAGCTGGTAAAACAGAAGTAGCTGATTAGAGTTTAAGACCATGTAGTTGTTCTTCAGGGCTACCCTATTAGCCTATATCTTTAAGTTAATATAACATTAGGATAGTAAAATAGGCTGTAAAGTTTATAATGTTCAACTTCTGTTAACTGTATTTAACCGTTTTGCTACAACCATTAATACAACAACTAATCATGTGATAGCAGCCTATTATTTTGGGGGTTTCTTTGTCATTATTTTTGCTATAATTTAGGCTATATTACTACCTTTTAGTCAGAAACTTTCCGTTTGCTACAATATGTTTCTCTCTATCTGTGTGTCTTTGGCTTTTTTCTGATTTTATTTATCTTAAATCGTTGGTGAAAATAATTTAATTTAACTTTTTACGTGATTTTCTTGACCTTATCACCAGATTTATCTTTGATAATGCAACCTAATTAAGATATTAGAAAACTTCAGTGTCCACTTAAGTAGGCCTATTTGAAATAAACAACACTATTCTGAACTCTCATAAACATCAATTGACCGTTTAAGCTTGCCTTGGTGGAAGGAGGAGGTCCAATGCAGGATATTTCTTCAGGTAATGTCCATGTGTTAATTATTCCCTATGCCTTAAGGGACAGAGACCTGGATCTCAATACATTTCAATGTACTGGTGTGGCTGAGGAATAAGTGGTGTGTTAGCCTATACTTCAGAATAAACATGCTGACACGTTATTACTATTTAAATGCAAAAAACACAGCACACAGCAGGGACAACAGAAAGAAGAAGCAGAGAGCATGCTCAACGAAACCTGCTTAGTCATCATCCTTGGGGGATGGCCAACCAATTGTGTGTTAATCTATGTACGGTACTATTAGAGAGTGGGACAATTAATGTGTCACTTGTCGCAGAAACATCAGATTAACAGTCCCGTCTACAATGGATTGGTCCTTTGCTGCCCCATCTGCCATTAGCTTGCCCTGCAAATCCAATTATGTTCTTATGCTGCCTGCGCTAAAAATAGGAGAAAAGAAAGGAAAACACAGAAACAACACGTCAGTAGCGCTAAGAGGAGACCAAATTATGTTATGGAGCTGATGTGTCCTTTCTGCAGAGACAACTGAAGTGTCAAGATAAGATGAGGTATCTGTGACAGGCTGCCATGACAGACAGAGCTCGGACCAGGGAGAGATGGGTGGAACGGCAGCAAGGGATGCATAAGAGGAAGAAGGATTAGGTCTCAAGGAACTTCAGAAAAATCTCTTCAGATACTGGATGAAATAAGGTAAGACACATTATGCATCAAGACCAAGTTATAATGTTTTTAGCCTGACCTCATAAAACTCCCTTAGGCCTTAAAGTATGTGTTTTCAGACACAGTGCTGGCTGGGCTGAGGTACAAGTTTTTTTTATATATGCTACTGCTGTTACAACAAGACATTGTGCACACAGCAATGTAGAAAAATGAACGAGTAAAGGGAGCTACAGAGCATCTAACCCATTCATCTTATACAGGTCATGTTTGAAGCACGCCGGCGATGACAGAGCCTGTGTGCTCTAGCAACAAAGCCATGTAAATACTACCAAACAATGTGCAGTACAGAGAGTTTTCATTGTCTGAATTGGAAAAAAAATAGTTTTTGTGATTAGGTTTTGGTAGCATTTTTACTGAGTTTCATTTTTACTCAAATGAATTGTTAACCTTTTGTAAGTAGGACTCCTATTTCCTAACACAGCTTGGAGGCAGTGGAGTTGAATATCTATGATGAAGTAAATTATTTAAAGAATCTGCCATTTTATTTAAGGCATTTTGACATGTCAAAGAAGCTAAAGCACAGCTTTACCTCTTGATAATAGGGTCAGGCAATGATGGCTGTGATCCATTTAGCTTATCAAGTTTCAGGGTCCTGGTACTTTTCGTGCTGGCTCGTTATCAAATTGTTCCGACTTATTGGAACATTCAGTCAAGAGGCAGCCATTGTTAATGTTATTAGCAACACATGTACTTTTCCTACATTAGCTAGTCAAAACGGCTTTGGCTAATTGTTGATCACGTAGACACTTCACCCAAGGTTATCTCGTTTAAATAAAACAAAGTACTCATGGATTCTTGGGATTCTGTCATGCCACCTGACATGCCACACTAAGCTTGTCTGCTGTCTGTCAGTGTTTTAATTCTGTCCATGTGTCCCGAAGGTCACCGAGCGGAAATCCCAGTGACAGCAGCCGCAGTTCAACTCAAATAGTACACTGAGTTACATGAAAATAGGTTAAAGTATGTCCAAGAGGGTCATTATAAAGGTTTAATCAAATAAACACCTTAAGCTTCCTTCTGTTTTTCTCAACTTAACCCTCTTATTTAAGAGGGAATAAGATGATTATGGTAGGACAGTTCCTGGAGGCAGCAATACTAACGTCCGGATGTTAATCAGATTTTGAAACCAATCATCCAATCATGAAAACTTGAGTGTTGAAGTGTCAAATGTATCCGATTATACACGAAAGCTTTTATATAATGCAAAAAGGACAGAAAATATTTGAAGTATTTTCTATCAGCCTGTGTCTTTCATCAATCATCATAAAAGTGTTGCCTCTATTTTGAGAGTTCACTCTGCAAAGGTAGAGCACATAATGCCGGTTCTGAATTAATTTATCATATTCTGGTATTATCACCGGTATTTAAATGTGTATCATTTATCACATATATATAATATCTCTTATCTGCAGATCTTGTGCAATATGTTATGTTGTTTTGCATTGGTATGTGCCTTTCAGTTTACATGTGGATGTGTTTTTCTATTGTTTATTCATCTATTAATGCCCGTGGAAACAGCTGAATGTTTGGCAGACAAATTTCCACAAGGGGACAACAAAGTGTATCGCATCGTATCACAACGCAACGCAACACAACGCAACGCAACATATCGTATTGCATCGTATCGTATTGCATCGTATCGGATTGCAGCGTATCATATTACATCATACCGTATTGTATCTTGTTGTATCGTATTGTTTTTGTTTATTATCGTATCATATTAATCCAAAGGTGCTCTGTCAATAGCTGCATGCAGCCATTAAACATACAATTTCATTCATTCAAACAATGCCCGACCTAATGTAGTTTTAAATGACATTATAGGGCCACCTATATTTTTTCCAACACATCATAACGAGGGTTAGGCTATTTCCTGAAAATTTGAGCAGCATTGCATCTAGTCAACCTAAGCTATCTTTTTTTAGTCTGTGCTACTCGTTTCCCTTGGTGTCTTTTTGCCGTGATTATTCTGATCTCATTTAACATGACTAACTATGACACAGTAGATTCAATCCATCGTTCAACTAGCTTGGGATTTATGGTGGCCAGGTCTCCCTTGTGAAAGAGATCTTGATCTCTATGGTTTACAATGTAATTTAAAATAAATTATGTTATTACGCTCATTTGCCCACCATTTCACAAATTTCCCCCACGGGGGATCAATAAAGTTTATCTTTATCTTTATCTTTCTGAAATATTCGGAGTGTCTTTGATTGCAATAAGCAGAAGTGCAAGTTAAGGAAGTGAACAAAATGATCTTGTTTTTCTGTCTGTGACAAATATATATCAAAAAGGTTATTAAAACAGCAGGTGCAGCAAAAAACATGTTTTGTTTCAGGTTGTGTTCTCCCAGCTGGCCATCATTGTGATTAGAGATTTACTGATCCAATTAACCACTGACATCAGCTTCTGATTGATAGTGATTTAAATAGCTGCATTCGGTATCAGTAACAATAGGGCAAAATCCTTAAGTGATTGATTTAATTCAATTCTCTGATTAAGTCTACATGTTGTCATACAACGTCATGCATCAGCAGGATGCCGGGTGTTCAGTTTGGACCAAAGGAAGAAAGAGGATCTCTGAGCACTATCCAGAGAAATGACGTGTCAGATATTTGAAACTTTGCGCTTTCTGTGACAAAAAGCTCAACGACTACTATGAATATTTATTACACCACAGAAGAAAAAACTAACAAATGAAAGGTCCTGTGAGTAGTTCTTAGCTGGTCATGACTGAAATTAATACTGATACTTCTAAACAGGCCAGGTTCTAGACTGCTTTGAATGGGAGGTGTGTGATCCACTGATGAGGAAAAAATGAAATATTTTTTATTTTTTAAAGAATTTTTGGCTTTAGTGGGGCAGGCTGAGAATTTTGGGGGGGCATTGCTTCTTAATGACCCACAAAAGCAAACCAGATCATCAGCTGGGGGACTGATTATTTCTATATCGATATTTGTAATGCCTGTAAATTCTGCCATTGGACAGTTGTAAGAAAAGGAAATCAACATTAAGACTTGGTTTACTTTTTTCGAGGCAAAGATTCACAGTGAGTAAAATGTTTGAGTGTTAAAAGAAGGCTACGATTTTTTTGTCAGAAAACACAACTCACTTACTCACACATACGCACAGGACAAGATCAGCAAAGAGATAAGATGTACTGCTGTGTCCAAAGGGGGCGCCAAAAACAACCCAAACTGAAAGTAACTCACAGTAGCTTCAAACAAGCGTTTATCAATAAAAATGAATTAAACAATAAGGGCGTGCATCAGCATTCATATATGTTTGTTCACTTACAATATGAGAAGGTGAATGTACCGGCATATGTAATATACCACTTTGTTTTCATTTTACTATTAGGAGTAAACTGGATGTTTTTAATTACCAGAATCCCCTCAAGGTAATTTACAAGGTAAGGTAATTTCACTAATCCTTTAGCATAAGCACATGACTGCTTTACAACTGCTCACCCGGCAAAACTAAACAGCCTGACTTAGTACAAGTCAACAAAGTGCATGAACCTTAAGAAAGAATCTAATCCAACAAAAAAAGACACATCATTTACAAGTGTATACTTTGAAAACAAAAACATGCAGCTTTTTGAAACCTACATGTGAGGATCAATTAATCTGGACAATCAAACTGTTGAAGCTACTTAACCTCTCAGTTCAGTTTCATTTTATGAGATCGCACATAAAGTTATAAGAGATCACAGGAAAAGTACAAAGCAATTAGTAGTACGGCTGAATGTGTTTCAAATTAGATCTAATTCCACTAAACCTTAGCTTGACAGCCTACGACTTTAACCTCTGAACTCAAGACGTTCACTGTATCTTAGTGGGATTCTGGTCCGTGAGGACCTTTTGCACGCTGGTTAAGAAATGACATCACTAGCACACTTAACCTGTTGCCAATACTCTTCCATAAGGTAACATATTGTGGTACTTAAAAGTATAATCACCATTAATTGGTATCACTGGTAAGTAAAACATCATGTTTAAAGGTAGATATACACTGTAAAATGTTCAGTTCAGGAGCATATAACCTTTTTTCAAAGTGTATTATAGCAGTGCTTTGTCTAGTCCTGCTAATTGACTGTTTTTTTTCTTCTGTTGTGGTTGTGTCTCCCAGCAGGATGGGTACATTTGTGACCCTGACTGAAGTGTTGGAGGCTCGGGGTTCACCACTGGATGAGGATGAGGTCTGGTGTCTCCTGCTGGCCAGCACTGAGGCCTTACTGGACATTTCAAAAGAAGGTATAACCCCTCACAGTATTAGTGACCATTTCCTTCTAGTTCAACCAGCATTCAAGAGCACCTAAGGTTAAAACAATGTCCCCATCCATGTAGCATCTAGTGATTAAATTAACCTCTTTGTGTTGTTAAATGTCAGAAGTGTCTGCCTTGTTTTCTGTTTAGGTTCAGGTAACATGTGCAGTGTGCTGAGTCCGGGCTCAGTGCTTCTCTCAGCCAATGGGAGTCTGGCCTTCAAAAGCTGTGCCCGGTATGAAGACGTGGCCTCCTTCACAGCTCCTGAAGCTCAGGGTCACACGTCCTCCTCCAGGACCGCAGTTGAAAAGGTTGGAAAATAAATCTCAGATTTATTACTACAAAATATAAGGATACAGACAATGGCTTCAAAAACCCAGCATTTGGGAATCTGAAAAGGCGTGCGTGGTAAACGTGTGGTGGTATTATTAATGTGTGTATCATTTCCTTATTCCTCAGATGGTTGTTACTCACTTGGGATGACCCTTTACTGGTGTGTTGATTATCATCTTCCACAAAACCAGGTATTTAAGTTTCGCTCACTCAGATTTATTCTTACATATTCTAAGTATAGAGTATGTATATAAGTCCGTCCTGGTTACTCATTTTGCTGCTCGTTTTCCCTCCCAGCCTGTCCAGCTGAGTGCAGAGCTGGAGGGTCTGCTGCTGAGCATGTGCGAGGACGTCGAGGTTCGGAGGAACGACCTGCTGACGGTGCTGGAGACCTGTGAGCTTCACCATAAGGTCGCGATGCTGCCTCCTGCTGAACAGCTGGTCAGGCAGCTGGTGGAAGATGTCTACAGAAACTCAGTGAGTGTTCGATCGTTGATTTGGTTCGGTTTGAGCTGGTTCTGTGTAGCCATGTTCCATTTTGATAGAACATTTATAAGAGCTACTGTATACCTCCACGTTTCCTTGAGCTGGACTCTGATCTGTTTGCAGGTCGATCATGTGTCCATGTCTGAAAATGGATCCCCACTCACAGACCGCAGTCAAATCGTCAGGGACAGATTACACGGTAAGACACTGATTCCTTTGGCAGATTTAAAATCCAAAAGGAATATTTGTTTGCACCAGCGAACATATTTGCTCTTTTAATCACTTCTTGTGTGTTGTCCTGTGAGAAAAACTGCACACCCAAAAGAAACCATTTTAAGTTATTAGACTCACAGTTGTGCCCCCTAACATACCTTCAGACATAACAATTTGATTTAGCTTCAACTGTTAGTGTTCTGTTGAAAGCAGAGCAAGTGACACTTTGCAATCTAAGCAGGACAGAAAACTTCTTAAAACAAAAGCAACAGCCTCACAGACTTCACCTTAGCCTCTAGAACAAGCAGCCAGCAGACATTCCTGCGGGAAAAGGGCAACGATAATGTCAGTTCGAAGGCTAGATAGCTAATAACCTGCTTATAGGTGCAGTAGATTTAACAGCATGTGAAAATGAAAATGTTTATTGCTTTACTGAAAAAATTTAACTTCAGTCCAGTTAGCGGCATGGTCTCGTTCTCTAATACATCTAACAACATGCTTACGGTATTACCTGACATTAACTGTTAATCCAGCACACTAGTGACAGCATGAAAAAAAGCTGTCAAATTGATATTTCTCGTTTCCTTTAGTCAATTAAAGTGACATCATATTCTCCTTTAAAAGGGTTTAATTTGATTGCAGTTGGACTGTTGTAGCATCCGTTTGACATTTAATATAATCTACACATACAGTATTGTTTGCAGTATTGCACAAAGATAAAAATTGATATTACCAAATATGATTCTACTACTAGAAGCTAGTTAGCTTAGCCAACAGAAATGAAGCAGCGCAGTCTACTCTGTCTAAAAGTAATTTAAACTACCTACCAGCACGGCTAAAGGTCACAAAAGACATTTAAATATTATTACAGGGACTCATTAATTGTATATATACTATCTTAAGTAATCTTTACAGGTAAATACAGCTGTGCTTATCAAAGCTTACCAGCTGCTGGCAATAGCGTCATATTTAGGTAATATTCTGCACCATGAATGTGAAGCTAGCTAACAGCAAGTTAGCTTCTCCTGAAGACTTAAAGTAGGGTTGAACAGCTAACTTTCTCTGCCCAGAACAAACTAAATCTAGCACCTGTAAAGGCCACAAATTTACACATTCACATTTCAGTATATGGTTTTAAAAATTAGATATTTAAAGGAGAGCCATGTGAATTTGTTCTCCTCAAAGACAGTCATGCTAGATGTTTCGACCCCCTGTTTCCAGTTGTTATGCCATGCTAAGCTAACGAACATCTGTTTGTAGCTTTACTTTTACTGTACAGAAGTATGAAGTGGTAAATCTTCTTATCTCACTCTTTGTAATAAAGATAATCGTTTTGGAGTTGTTTTAAATGTCCAGCTCTTGCTTTTACACATTTTACAGAGTCAGATGTAAAAACTGTGATATTGGTAATACATTCCGATTTGTTTTTCAGGAGGTTCATTTAGTAACTCGACATGGGCTTCGAAGAGGATCTCTAGAACATTCTCAGGAGCATCTTATGCATGCGAGCCCATACGGTATGAAGACTGTGTCCACACATATTTTTTACATCTTCTTACAGAGCTAACAGCACATTGTCATTGGCCAACATTTTAATTAAAGTAAAGAAGACACAGTTAACAAGCGAAGCCCACACCACTAAAGGAGATTTCTTCCATGAAATGTGAGCTTTTTGTCCGAGGCATCAAGAGCGACAGATCTCTCCATTCCTCAGACTGATTATGGAAAACGTTTTATTCTCAGGACTCCCTCAGCAAGTCGACACAGAGAGAGTTATAGCAGCTGGCAGCAACTGAACCGCAGCCCCAGTTCTTTCCAGGATGGCAATCGAAACTCCAACTCAAGATTGCTCACACAGTTCGGTTCCACGGTGACTCTGAGTGACAAGAAAGCGAAAGTAAGCCAGTTTACTATATCCCATAATATGATGACACTACATAAAGTATTTTGACCATACAAAAGAGATGGACACAGTCACAGTGTCTGATTTGTCGAGTACTGTGTAGTATCTTTAAAATTGGCATAATAGCCAACACCATCTTGGTTTATTAAAGCTACAGTAGACAGGATTAGATCCTCCAAGTTTAACAATTTCACATTTCATCCAGACTTTTGAGTCCATTAAATTTGTATTTTAATTAATTTTGCTTTACTTTGCTATTCTTTTTGGATTAATGTTGATGGTTTTCACTTGACGTCTGAAATGGGATGGGGTAAATATTCACAGTGCCACTGCACCTAACTTTCAGCAAAAGTAGACAATTGTAAATCTGCTGCCATGTCACCTATAAACAGATAAGCTGCTCCAACATCAAGTGGTGAACCAGCCTGTTTTTGTAATGAGAGGCTATACAAAGTGCTTGAATCTATCATGGTTGCTAAAGCTGCAGGGTAATTATTGGTCAATCACAAGGTAGACTAAATCATCTGTTATATTCTTGATGAGAAAAATAATAATTTAATTGATTATAATGTGATTATTGAAGCAAATCATACATCAGCATCCTACGGGAAATGATGACGATAATAAATCAAGTGGGTAGTAGGGTCATTCATAGATTTCATAGCTTGCTCTGTCTTCCATGTTAGCTGTATTTGGGGCGGCTGTGGCTCAGTTGGATAAGTCGGTGGTCTACCCACTGGAAAGTCGGGGGTTTGATTCTTGGCTCCTGCAGCCACATGTCCAATGTGTCCTTGGGCAAGACACTTAACCCCAAGTTGTTCCCGCTGCTTCATCAGTGGCATATGACTGTGTATGAATAGGATAAGTAACTTCTGATGGTCACTTTACATAGAAGCCTCTGATGTCAGTGTGTGAATGGGTAGATGTGACCTGCGATGTAAAAGTGCTTTGAAAAATAGAAAAGCGCCATACAAGCTCAAGTCCATTAACCATTTGTCAGACACTAGGACCTGAGTCAATTTTTTACACAAGTAGTTCCTAATCTTTGCTAGGATGCCGTTTGGCAGAGGAAAATATTTTAAAACACAAAACTTCTCAAGTCTTGGGTTCGGCTGTGAGACTGCCACGCTTACATCATTTTCTTTTTTACTTTTTTTAAAGATATAATTTGGGGCCTTTTATGCATTTATTACAGAGATAAGACAGTGGATATAAGGAAGAGAAAGTGGGAAATAACAGATTCAGTCAGATTCAAGCTGCCCACTTTTAAAGACTGTGGCCCCTTTACATGGGGCGCATGAACTAACCACTCTCCTACCCGCACCCCCTCTTAGTTATTTTCACTGTCAAGCTTTAATCTGTATTTTGTGTTGATTGAGGTAACTGCAGAAACACACATGTTAAAACGAAGGAGTGTGCTCTCTTCATTACGGTTGTACAGGTGAAGCCGAGGACGAGATATCACTCAGATCTCGCTTCCGGTCATATCTTATTTGTCTCTGTTTTAGTAGTTGTGGTGTAGATTCATTGTCAGCCTTACGTTTACCTGGAAGTCCTCTCATATGATTTGTCATGCTTTGCTGGCAGTGCAAAACGATGTGCATTGTTTTATTTAGCCTTGTCAGGCCCCCTATATCATAACTTCAGGTCCCCCTATGGGCCTCACTTTGGGATTCACTGTTTTACATAGTCTATGGTAATATATGGTAATATAATGAACACAACACTTTTTTGATGGGGGAAAAAATATTTTCATTTGCATTGTTCTTTGTTACAGGACATGGGTCCAGAGTTTATAAAGATGTTAGACGAGCCACCGGTTACCTTAGAGCTCCCTGGATCCATTGTGGTGAGTTCTTGGAAAAAAAAAAAAAAATCCTGTCACTTTTTGGGGTTTTTAATCTTCGTAGATTCCCATGCAATCCCAATCTTTTGTTTAATTGTATTTTTTATTCTGCTTGAAGTCAAAGAAAGGAAAATCTCCAACCACTCAGAGGGAGCTGACTGTGGTGATGCCAAACGGTCAGAGCATCCTGGTCAAGTGTGAGGTGAAGTCCAGGGGAGGGGACGTCTTTGACATGATCGTGGCCCACGCTAACCTAATGGAACACTTCTACTTTGGCCTTGCTTATATTGACGGTAAGATAGCTGGAAAAGAATGAGTCAGTGAGGGAAACGGGAAAGAAATGAAATAGAGAGAGATTAGAAAAACATGTACATGAACATGTATGCTTCTAATGAAACATAATCAAAGTAAAACTTCCTGAAACCACGGCAAGTATGGAACCATGGTCAACCACCTTGAATTGGACTGCTGTAGAAAGTATATAAATGTGTTTTTAAGGGGTTATTTTGGGGCTTTTTATACCGTTATTAAGAGCTAGGACAGTGGATAGAGTCAGATATTAAGGAGAGAAAGAGTGTGGAATGACATGTGGGAAAAGAACCACAGGTCAGATTCAAATCCAGGCCGCCTGCTTGGAGGACCACAGCCTCCGTACATGGGGTGCACACACTAACCATTAGGCCATAGGCGCCCTGGAAGTCACATATTTCTGTCAACTCACTGTTTCCTTTCTTTCTTTCTTCTCTCATCAGATAACGAATTCTTCTTTGTGGACAATGACACCAAGATTTCCAAAGTTGCCCCAGATAGCTGGAAGAAAGTGCCTACAACCACCTTTGTCCTTTTCCTCAGGATCAAATTCTTTGTCAATGATATTTCTCTTCTTTTGTAAGTCTTAATTATATTATTACTGAACTCTGCGTCCATAAAATGTTATGTACAGAATCTTTTCAATGTGTACGCTTTTCTTCATCAGGCACAAACAGACCCGTCACCAGTTTTACCTTCAGCTCAGGAGAGACCTTTTAGAGGACAGACTGTCCTGCCATGAGGAGACTGCTCTGTACCTGGGAGCGCTGGCTCTGCAGACAGAGTACGGAGACACGATGCCTGAGGTTGTGTACTATACATTTGAACAAAACATATAAATGCAGAAAACTAAAGTGCAAGTTATAATAACTGTGCAGAGCTTTTGCATACAAGGTCGGCTAAACCAAGCTTAAAACTGTTTTAAAGAGGACATATTATCCCCCTTTTCTACGTTTTCAAACAGTCCCCTGTGGTCTAAATGAAACATCTGTGCTGTGCTTTGGTCAAAATATAACATGAATCAAACGCCAGAGGAGGTTTGTGACCCTGTATAAACAGCTCTGTCAGAACGCTCCGTTTTGGTGTGTGTGTCTCTTTAAATTCAATGAGTCCCGTCCCCTGAGTTTTCCCAGTAGACATCACTCCTCTGTAGCAAGAATATATATCCATGGGTGGAGATACCAGAATTCACTGTGACATCACAAGGAGAGCAAATGTGACACAGAGCATTTTTCTGTGTTGTAAGACTTATGCAGACCACAAACAAAGGACTGGATGGATTTAATTCACATTTTGTGGATCAGTAGACACTCAGGTTACCCAAATATATGTTCAAAAAACACTGTTAAAGTGGATTTTTCATAATATGTCTCCTTTAAAGGTTTTTTTTGCATTTGACGCTTTTTCACAGCAACTATTTTAGTTCTGTATTAGATGTTTTCTGTCTTAGGGACTGAACTTTCCCTATTCCTAAAAGCTTTACATTTTGCACCTTGGCAAAAATGTTTTAGAATTTGAATGATTTAAGTTTCTGGATAAAAATATGCTTAAACCAGTGTTTTGATTTGATGTGTTTAGGTGTATGGTAGGAACTACTACCGCCCTGACCAGTATGTCTCCAAGAGTGTGATGGAGAAACGTGCCTTGCCATATATTCAGGGGGAACTGATGCGACTTCACACCAACAACAGTCAGATGCTGCCCGACGAATCAGAGCTCGAGTTCCTTAAGGTTAAAAACATACTGTCAATTTGACAATTCAAAACGTGTATCTAGTCAGCTTTTTATTTCAAGACTGAAGTCATCTAACAGTTACCATTCTCTATGTGCCTTTCAGGTGTGTCAGCAGTTGCCTGAGTACGGCGTGTTTTTCCACCGTGTGTTGCGTGAGAAAAAGCCTTCAGAAGGGGAAATTATCCTCGGTGTCTGTGCCAAAGGAGTCACCATCTACGAGGTTAAAGATGGCTGCCGGTCAACCAGCCAGAATTTCTTCTGGAGGGAGACAGCTACAATCTCATCAAGTGTGAGTGCAAAGGATATTACTCTGGGAATTTTGAAACCATTTCCCTCAAATTATGAATTTTTGCGTGTTTTTTTTTTAGTTGGCTACACTCCAAAAACTCTTCCTTTTGTCTTCCTGCAGCGTCGTAAATTTATTTTAGAGGGCCGGGGCAGCAATAAGAAGTACACCTTCATCACAGAGAGGTCAAAGATTGCTAAATATTTGTGTAACCTCTGTTCAGCCCAACACAAGTTCAACAATGAGATGAACTCTCGCCAGCTCAGCCACAGCATGGTCTCAGGTGAGTTACTACCACTTCATTATTTCATCAACAAGCTAAACATTGGCACCATTTTTTTCAGACATTGGTAAAAAAAAGACAAACCAAAAACGCACACTGCTTTTTGGTGACTTCTCTTGCTCATTATCTTCTCTGTGTGTACCTCCAGAGGATAACATCGTCCAGTATGCTGCAGTGTGTCGGGCTCAGAGTGGCCGGCTCAAGTCCTTCTCTTGTTCAGAGACGCCTCAGGACGACAGTGGTCTGACCACGCCTCAGGATGATTCAGTGACCAAGCTGTGTGATGATGTTGCAGCGAGGATCGAGGCCCGCATTAAACAGCAGTGTCAGAGCCTCAATGAACAGAGGTAAACCTGTTGCATATGGAAAAACCTCCAACCACTGAGATCATATCGTTACTGAACTCATTGACTAATATTGAGGCCTGGACTTTGATGAGTCCATTCAATGCTAGCTAATGCAGTCAATTATTCTTCTGCTAATTTGCAAACCAAATTTGTATGAAAAAGCATCTGTTCTCATATTGATCAATGTCCCTCATTCACATTTATCACATGTATTATCTGTTATCTCTGCAGCACCTGTTCCAGCAGCCAGCGCGGCAGCCTTGCTATGCGTTCCCCATCCTGCTCTCAGAAGAGCGGATCTGAGGCACCTTCAGGCTCCCCAGCAGCCAGAGGTATGACAAGGAATTTTCATTATTATTTCTACCGCATTGCCAACATGTGGCAGAAGATTTACCTCAAGTCCCTTATTCATTAGTGGTGCACTTAAAGGAAGAATGTGAGACCCCATACACATACAGTACATATAGCAGAAATCAAGTTTATACTTTGTAAATGTCTCTCTGAGTCATGTGTCAACAAAAAGTGTGAAGCACAAGACCCGCAAGCTGTGTCGTTGTCCTAGCTGTGTTTACATCATGTTTACATGGACAGGTCGACAGACTCCTCTCCTTGCGTCAAAAATCTGATTTAGTCAAGGGAGAGAAAATAAGAATAACATACTCACTGCTTGTTTTGAATGTCTTGTAAGTGTTTTTAGATTACGGTCATTCCGTGTCAATTTACATGCAATGTGAAGCTATGAGCTAGCTAAAGCGTGCTAACATTAGCCTGCTAACACAACAATGCAGGACACATTCGAAGCTTGATCCAAACTGACCTGGATGACTGAGATTGAGAATTTACACAGACATAATGCAGACCACAGGAAACTGCAGGTTGAGCAAAGGACGTTTTTTCCACTGCTTGCGCTAAACTCCTTCCTGCTAATGCGAGTGAAGAGGGGTTGGAGGTGTGACGCTGGAGGAGAGCGGTGGTTTCAGAATAACGGAGGTGTCGCGAAACAGCGGTTTGTTTTGGTTTCATGCTGGTGCTCAAGGGTGACATCTACTGGATCAAAGTCACACATTCCTTTAAGCTATAAAATGTTGAAGAACATCGCAGAAAATATATTTTTTGTTCCTATCATATTTCTGTATGTCTTTAAACGTGATTGTGTTTCCATAATACCTCTGGCAGTTCATGTGCGATGCTGTACTTCAAAAATGTCACTGCAATGCCATGGTGGGCGTTTTTATGAAATGTGGATGAAATCCGTTTCACAGTGATATTGTGCTTTGTGTCTTACAGAAACCCCAACAAAACTCGGGTCATCATCGGAGAGAGAAGTCATTTGTGTTTCTCTGAGGAAAGACCCAAAGCTTGGCCTAGGTAGGCTGATCATATTTTCTGATTTAACAGTTTGGTGCTCTTTTTCATTTTATGTGGAGTCACACTAATCTACAACAAAATGTTATCTGTTCGTTCTAAAGCCCGTACAGAATTAGGAAAAAAGGCGTCCAAGTATGCTGCTCCCTCTTCTTGGAATCGGTTGCAAGATACTTTAAATCTTCAGGAGCTGGTTTCCTTGAATGTTTTTAAAGGTTCTTCTTCATGATCTGGAGGCGGGCATACCTGACTGTAGATGTTTTTACTAACTCGTATTGCCCTTTTTGATCGCCTTGTTGTTTATAACAGATTTTGATGAATGGTTCATTTTGTGATTCCTTTATTTATGTTTATTGTTGTTATGTGTTTTATGTCTGAAATCCTGTAAATTGTGCTGCTGCCTGTCTTGGCAGCATCACTCTTGTAAAAGAGAGTCTTAATCTCAATGAGACTTTTTCCTGGTTAAATAAATACATTTGGGTCCACATTGACTTTACATGTTTGTAGGGACTTTTTCCTGGATTATAAAACTTTAAACTTATAAACTTTTCTCTCAAAGTAAAAAAACGTCAAAATAACACAAGTAACAAATATTTTAGATCATAAAAGAACTCAGTCTGTTACTGATCCATCTGTGGTCTGTGTTCAAACAGGTATAGTCATAGTGGGAGAGGACACTGTGGGGCACTATGACTTGGGGATCTTTGTTGCCTCCCTTGTGCCTGGTGGACCCGCTGATAAGGACGGACGCATCAGACCAGGTAGAGAATCGTGAACATTTAAGACTTAACCTCAGTAACAATGTATTTATTTTCCAAAGTTCAATTAATGACTGGTTGAAAAGCTTAATTCTTTCAGTTAAGAAACTAAATCTAATTATTCTAAGGTCTACTTAACTCTTAAAAACAGCTTCTTTGTGTAGCTTAAGTTCCACTAAATGTTGAATATTTTAGTTTGGTGCAGACTCCTTATCTTTGTGAATTTAGTAGCTGCTTTTCTTTGTATCTAATCCAGCATTTTACCTTCAAAAAAATGGATGCTGAGAGTTTGCAGCAGAAAAGTACAGAGGAGGACAGAGAGGGCATGTGAGGTTTCTGTGAGGGTTCAGTCATAGTAGGCCTTTGAGGTAACAGGTGGTGGTGCTGGTGAGATCTCCAAACTCTACAGTTACCGGACACCGGCTCTTTTTTCACTGTGACCTTTGCCCTAAGGTGGTCGACTGATCTCTCTGAACCACATCAGCCTGGAGGGCGTCACCTTCAACGAAGCAGCAGAGGTCATGCAGAGCAGCCCTGAGGAGGTGCAGCTCATTATCTCACAGCCAAAAGGTGATCTGATTATGTGTGCTGTTGTGTGTGAATGTGGGTAAAGATACTGAGCTGTGAACCCTTGCCCTTACTTTGAGTATAATGTTGGTGCTTTGGTATCAGCCTATTCTTCCAATGCACCTGCTCCGATTGACAAACATGTAAATAGAAGATTTGTGACTTCCCTTCCTTTCTCTGTGCTGTGTAGTTCCTTTTCTGTGAATTTAGCATGTGCCTCTGTTAACACATGCATATGATACATGATTTGCCAAAACTTTTATGTTGACTCGTCTTGCTCTCACTGGCATCAACAAGTTTCCTCCTCCACATCTCAAAATACTGTTTAAAGCTTCAACTCAGAATACTTTGATGTTAAACACTTCATGGTCTACCTCAAAAAGTGTTGGCATCTTCATCTGTTCTTTACGGTTTAGCTGCTCTGACAGCACAGATCACAATGTTTTTTATTTAGCTGTCTGGGCAAAAGTAGAGTTTGTGTTTTTTTTCTGTCAGCTTCAATATGAATCAAGAAATTCCTATTTCAGACCTTGGCAATTGTTAGCTTAGCTTAGCACAAAAACTGCAGCCAGTCAGACCAGCCAACTGGCCTCGATTTTCCCAAAGGTTAAAAAACTATTTATGGCTTTAACAGTGGGTTAGATTTACATGGCGGCTGTGGTTCAGTTGGTAGAGTCGATCGTCTCCTAACCGGAAGGTCCAGGGTTCAACTCCCATGATCTCGGTGGTGTAAGAATGTGTCTGATTGGATTAGTTACCTCAGATGGTCACTTTACGTAGCAGCTTCTACCATCTGTGTGTGAATGGGTGTGAATGGATAGGTGTGACCTGCGGTGTAAAAGCTCTTTGAGTAGTCAGAAGGCTAGGAAAGCACAATACAAACTCAAATCCATTTACATGTAAGCTACTGGTAGCAAGATTTTCATGTTTTCAGTCATTTGGCCAAGCTAAGCTTAGCTAACTGGGATCAGAGGTGCTCCCAGAGTCAGACTGGAGGAGGTCAGTATCTTAAACAATGTTTATTTTTGTTAAGCTAAGCTAACATGCGCTAGCTGCGGCGTATTCAGTTGCAATTATTCTACTGCTAAAGTTGCTGGTAACCTGATGTCAGACTTAGAGCTGAATATAATCATCTTAGCATCTTTCAGAGTAATTGAGAAATCACTTTTAACATCATTAACTGGACAGCTTATTGTTAAAACAGTATCAGGTGAAATATACATTTTATAGTTTACAGGCATAAATGCAATATTAACCGACTTCCAATGTTAACTGACTTTGTTTTTATTAACAGTCCATGTCAGCCCCATCGTTGTGCGTTCTTCAGCACTAAGGAACTACGAGTCCAACAGTACACCGATGACAGACGGGCAGTTAGGGGAGGATAGTCTGGACGAGATCGTTTCAGTCATGATGACACCAAAGACAGGCAACAGGCTTTCTGTCCCCCGAGAAGTACGAGTCATCGGTGCACAGGTAGGATCACAACGGGGTTCAAATGAAGTCAGTTTGTGCATTTATTTACAAAAATGTACATGGTTATAAAGTCATGTAAAATCTTTAAAGGTCACATATTATGCAAATTACACATAGGGTTAGGACCATGTTTTTCCAACACTAATATGTGTACCTAGTCTGTCTACAAATCCACCAATTATAAGAAAGTTCCATCCTCTGAGTCTTTTGCCTGCTCCACTTTTCAGAAAATGTGTGCTCAAACAGGCTGTTTGGAGGTTTCCCCTTTGTGACATCACAAAGGGCAGTAACCCTGGGGTGTTTGTTCTGCCCTCTGAGTCTGTCTTCTTGCCGTAAACAATTTGGAATGGTGCAAGGAAGCAAGAAACTTCACGAAATGTTTTAGGGACCTCTGAGACTTATAATATGTGAAAGAGTATAATATGTGACCTTTAAAACTTCATTTAGGAGGCCATAACCAGTATATGTTTTGATTTTTTGATTAATTGGGACCATTGTCGTACTTTTTACTTGTAAAGATGCATGTATAAACATAGGTAAATGTGATATAGAGTATATAGAAACTGTTGTAAATGTCGCTTTTTTAGGACAGCCCCATGAATTGTGCGAGGACAGAGATCACTGTGGAGCTCAGAAAGATATCGGGAAGTCTGGGCATCAGCATCTCTGTGAGTTTAAGAATTATTTTGATGTTGACATGAGCAGTAGTACTCACACCTGGCCAAATATTTGTATTGCTGTTTTTAATGCCTGCAGTTTTACAATTGTGCAAGAAACAATGCCGATACAAACACTATAAGGGCTGATTTACTTTAGGCAATGTAATTATTATAGGTGCTGTTTGAAACAAGTGTTTCTAACACATTTTTGTCTGACACTGACACAGTGAGAGTCTGATGCCATCTGTTTAACTTCTCCTTTGATGTGTTAAAAAGCTGCTTTTACATCTGAATCAGTTCATACTGTAAGCCTGACTTTCCAGTGAGAGCTTAGGTGGGTTGAATGAAACTTAACTGTCAGTGTCCCATGATACCTCTCGATGCTTTTAGACACTTTTCATGATAACCACTGAAACAGTTAAAGAAAAGAAAAAAATGATTGGTTTGGAAACTCTCTATCGGTCAAATTATATTTTTATACAAAGCAAGGGTTCGATAAGATGCTTACAAAAGAAAAAAAAAGGAGAGTAAACAAATAATTCCATCAGTGGGTCACAAATCTGCTCATCCCAATCTGATTAACATCTGACGATATTAGAAAGAAAGCTTCATTCACGTCACATCACTAGTCATAGATCACCACTGTTCCATTAGCTGAGCTGTGACCTACAGTGGAGTAACTACTTAGCCAACGACTTAACATTATACCACGGATATGTTCTGGATGTTAGTTGTGTTATTAACCCTTCAGGGTGGCGCCAACACTAATCTACAAGGGATCTACATCAGAAGCCTTGTTCCCGGAGGGGCTGCTGAAAGGGATGGACGCGTACATACAGGTATTCAAAGCTAAATATTATTATAACCAGGCTCCAGTCTTCATCAATTTTATATAAAAGTCCTTTTTTTTTTTTTTTTTTTACATATGATGTATGTTTGATCATTTGACTCTTCTGCAGTGGGGTCATTAATTGATTTCTCATTATGATGGATTTTAGGTTTAGCTCCTTAGCCCAAATCTGGGGTTGTGAACCCTGCAGGGAACCTTAGTGCTATTTGAAAAAGGAAAACAATAAAAGCCTTTGAGTACAAATAATTTTACAAATATAACATTTGCAAAAACTATAAAAAGGTCACATATACAATGTACGGTAAAATTAAAGTTAATTCTATGATTTTTTTTTAGCACCAAGCATATTACATTTAACACTTTGGATCCATTTGTGAGCGTCTTCCCCAAAGGCATAACAGCTCGCTGATTGGACAAACAACACCCTCTTTAACACGGTGTCACTGAAATGTAACACTCATTTTCATAAAAGAAACTTGTTTGAATACATTTTAGCCTTTAGCTAATGCTTCTAGGAGAGAGAGCATGATATTACAAGCCGTAAAACAGGAACCAGTACAAGGAGCAAATGTTGCAAAGTAATGGAACAAGTAGAGGGGGGAAATATGAGGAAATTATTTTGTTTGTTTATTTTTCACCAACGTTGTTTTATTACAGGTGACAGACTGCTGGAGGTGGATGGGATTAGCTTCCAGGGCTTCACCCACCAACAGGCTGTGAGCTGCCTGAGCAAAACGATGGAGGTAAAGAACAACATATGAATGAAATTTTGTTTAGTTCCTGCAAACGACCGGCACCTGAGAACGTAGGCTGGCTGTGCACGGTGCTACCCTGTTGGTAACTTACAACAGTTTGAAAATCATATTCAGGATTTTCTACTCTAATCTAAACCACTTTGACACGTTTTCTGAAATCCAATGCAGGTCTACTGCAATGCCACCTCAGCCTGAACAGTCATATAAGAACTCTCTCTTTTTTCAGTTACTCAGTTACTTTTTTCAGTTACTCTACCCTAACGAATCTACACTCAGAAAAGTGCTCGCAGAAAGAGTTCAGAGTAGCCGTAGACATCCAGACATTTTTTGATGTAATCTATTTATATGAAGCTATTCATTTTATTGCTATTCAATTACACCGCTCTTTGCTCAGACTCTATATCCATACCCGCCTCTGTACAGAAGATTGATCAAAAAATTAAGCCTTCTTTTAAAAATATGTTCTGCTTTCCTCATTATTATCTGCTCATGTATTTTCATCTTCGATTGCAAGTAAGCTTGAAGGCCTAAATGTAACTGTTAAACGCTTACACCCTTTGCATTTACTGCTTTATAACAAGTGCTGGTTGTTACTTTAGTTGATTCTTTTTTGCATGTGGGTCAGTTTAGTACAGTCACAGTGAAATCTGTTTTTCCCAAATGTAAAGATTAATTGAACAGAAGAAAATAATCAGCACAATGATTATCTATATACGCTGATGATGATGAACTATTTTCATTAGGTCATATTTTTTATTACTAAACTAACTGTACTTTGTTTTTTAAAAATTAGCCATCTTCAGCTTGCTAAAATGTTTCACCAGGATGCATATCGTGGTGAAACATTTTACCTGGCTGAACTGTCTGTGTGAGGATTGAAGCATGGGAAGCAAAGATCTTTCAAATCAAAGTCATAGAGATGCTATCGAAGCATTTGACAACGCTTGTTTTGATCATTCTTGCTGCTCAAACTACTGTTCTGTCATGATCACCTATTTGCTTCTTTCCAATCGCAACCTTCTTATCACATGCTCTCTCTCCTCACTTATCCCATTGTTCTTGTGCTTCCCCTTTCTTTACAAAAACCTCAATGTCTTTCTTGGCTGACTAAAAACTACATTCTTGCCATTTCCTCTCCTTCCTCTCTCTAGGTGGTAACCTTGACAGTGGAGCGGCAGTCCATGAATGTACCAAGGGTTTCTCTAGACACCTGCAGCATTGGATCCAATCACAGCATCCGTCCAGCCAGCAGCCGACTAAGATTCAGCAGCTGCTCAACGATCAGTCCTCCTCCAAACATGAACTCAGACCAGCCCAAGGTTTACGGCTTTGTAAATGACGGTAGGTGACCACAGCTTAGGTTAAGACCAATGGTCTTTTAACACAGAATACATACATTTGGGTAAAACAAACTAAAGCTCAGGATCTCTTTCTGGGAACTGCTCAGGAATGTTTGCAGAGCATTAGTGCTCTTGCAAACTTTAAATAATGAATCAAATTTTGCCAATAGATCGATCTGCAGTTCCCTCAGAGAGACCGAACGTTATGTCACAACACCTTAAACTACTGAGGAAGAACCTGCGTGAGAGAACCTGTCCGGTCGACTCTAAGCTGTTTTGTGCTTTAATATCCGACCAGGCTAGCCTGGCTGCTTCAAGGTGAACTTTCACACACTTCCTTTTCTTCATCCTGATCTTGCTCACTGACCCTGACCTTCTCCTTCTTATCCCCCCTGGCCTCACTTATCCTTCCGCATGTCTTTCTTTATCCTTCACTTCCCTTCTACACAGGTAGGCAGATCTAATTTGAAAACAATAGAAAATTATGCTTTTGTAAGATATCATAATGGCAATCATGTACACAAGGTCTAACTAACCCATGTCCCTTTAACCGTGACCCTCGTTTTTCCAAATTGTCCTCTCTACCTGACTTACATACAACCCTTTCATCTCTGTATCAGTCATTGGTTTATATCGAGTATAACTGTATCAAAACGATTTCTTCATTTCAACTTTGACATAAACTCTTCATTTTGCCTTGACACTAGGGTTGCCCTGCTGTATGAAAAATAATGATTTGTGATAAGGAGAATTAGTTCAAAATGTATTTTCTGTTAACAATTTTTGTTGTCTTCATACCAAAGTTTACAACATTTTTCCTTAAACTGTGTCCCAAGTATTGGTGGTTGCAGATAGAAATACAAATAAATTGTGCAGCTATTGCAAAATATACCTTGTCCATATTTAAGTATTGTCTTGTCTGTTCAGAGCCATCTAAGATTGAGTTTCATGTCTATCTAGGTGGAAATATACTGCTGGGCCTACTACAACTAGCAACCTGTTAGCAACCTTAGCTTGTAAAGAGACTTAAAAAGCAGGAAACAGCTAGCATTGGCAAAGGTTTAAGAAAATAAAGCTTGTCAATGAATATATAAAGTGTCAAGAGTGACAGATTTTTAAGCTAGCTGTTTTCCCATTTTCAAGACTTTATGCTAACGAGCTGCTAGCTGTAGTCTTTTGATAGTAAGAAGGGATTTGAGAGTCTTACTCTTGCTGTCTTACTAACAGCAAGAGAGAAAATATGCATACTTCAAGTTGGCTACAAAGTACTGAAAAGCCACCAAATATACGAGAAAACGGAAAATTTCCCTCTCGTACAAAAGATTGGATTAGCCTGCTAGCTAGGTCAGGCTGACTACAGCTTTCAACTGTTTTCCAACAACATGCATATCCATCACTCAGTGTGTGTACATTATAGCACTAATCTATTATCCATCAGTGTTGTTGCCATTTTTTGGTGATGCTATGCATGTTGCTCAGATGGATACATTGGGTTTATTACATTTTTAGGTGTGACATAGGAGCCACCATATAGTCATAAAATCCACCTGTAGCAATCTCATGTGTTAAAAGTTTGATATGGGAATGTTATTGTCTCTACGTCCCATTTGTGTGATCTCTTTGGGAGTGAGGAAGTGCGAAACACCTTGTGTCTGAATTGAAGTCTGAAAAAACAATAACAAACTCAACAAAATAATAAGCTTTTATCTTATCTCTTTCCTTCCCTTCTTCTTCCCCCTTCTTTTTCTACATCGTGTTTCAATTGAACATCATCCCATTACTCCCAACAACGTCCAATCCCGAAGACAACACTCAGGAAGTGACTCTGACTAAGAGTGCAAACGGCCTGGGCTTCAGCTTCCTGATGTGCGAGCTGGATCCACCCACACGAGACTTTAGCAGTCTGGTCCGGATTAAAGAGCTTTTCCCCGACCAACCAGCCCAGCAGAGCGGCAGGATCCAGGAGGGAGACGTCCTGTTGGCCATCAATGGCGAGTCACTCAAGGAGATGTCCTATCCTGTATGTGCAGATTTCAAACTAAGCTGATTAGCGTTAACTAATTTCTTTATTGAAAGTACACACTTCCTTTTGTGAGCGACTTAACTTTATTTCAACATCCTTACTGCAATAATTCATATAATGCACAAAGCCAAAAGACGCAAATTAGGGGCGGGGGGTCTAATGATCCATTTCCTAAATCTTTCATATGTTTCTCGTCTGTGTTTATTTTGTGTTTTACAGTTAGTCCTTGTTGGTTGAAAAATGTCAATTGTAAAAAAAAGTTTTGGGATATATTTGTCTTAGTTTCCCTTTTTTCATTATGAAACAGATGACAAAGATTAAAGGGACAATATGTAAGATATGAATGAAATCATAAAATGTCAGACATTAAGGAAACATGCTATGTTGAAGTGTTGGCTTCTCTGACAACTACGCAGCAGCCAGTATGTCCTCCTTCTAAATTTAGATTCCAGTGTGAAATGGTTTGTTTATGTCTTGACTAGAAAGGTTTGTTCTGCCCCTCCGTTTAACCAGGAAAACTGCAAACCAACAGGTGTTGCAGCAATGAGGGCGGGCAAACTGGTTTTAGATAGAACTGATTCTACCCAGGGTTAGAGATTAGAAATCTCTTATCTCTGTCGTTCCTTGGCACTTCTGTATGAAAACAAAGCTCTCGTATGGCATACTAGGTGTACAAGGAACTGGTTGTGGTATTACTGCTTGTAACTGAACTATTGTGTTTTCTTCTCTGTATGTGATGGTTGACAGTTGTTTCAATGGGTTTCTTCACCCTGACAGATAGTTAAGGAAACACTGTATATACTGTTAACTTGACTTTTCTTTAACAAGAAAATTGTGTTTTAAAAAAATCCATATCTACAGCTTCAATGTTTGTCTTATTGCCCAATTAAAACGTTCTCTCTTTTGTCTGTAGAAGGTACTAAAGCTGTTCAAGAATTCACCTCCTGACGTTCGACTGACTCTCTGTCGGCCCTCACCAGGTAAACATCCGCTTTCTATCATGGTCTGTTTACACCTGGAAGTAATTCTAGCCTTGTGTTAGGGCTCAACACGCAGTATCTCAGTCTGTAGGGACTTGGGTTGGGAACTGGAGCGACGCAGTTCAAATCCTGGTGTGGACAAAAATATGAAAGTTTGTTTGGTAGCTGGAGAGGTGCAAGGTCACTTCTCAAGTACTATGGAAATGGCCTTGAGCAAGGCACTGAACCCCCAACAGATCTGCAGCTCCTTGCGTAGCAGTGTGTAGCAGCCTCACTGACATCTCTTCACCTATGTCCACAGGTCCTGTTTGTGCATGTGTGTGTGATTCAGGTCTATGTGTGTGAGAAGCATGTCTCTCAATAACAGAGTGTAAACCAGAATTTCCCTCAGGCATTATTAAAGTATGTACAATTTTATTTAAAAACATTACAGCATTAAGTACAAGTGTTCTTATGCATGAGCAGAAGTTTTCACTCATTTGTGTACCAATGGCACCAATACTGCATGAAATACGAGAAAAATGTCACAACAACAGAAAAAATGTATTCTTGTTTGGTCTTTGTAAACAGATATGATGTAAGTTTTTGTTCTCTTTAAGCATATGGAGCGGGTTATTAGAGACTTTTATGGAGACACATTCTAGTAGTAGGTGTTTTTGATGTATTTAAAGGTGTTTAATTAGGATCCCATCACACCAGATGGATGTTAGTAGTCCCAGGTGTAAACAGGGCTTACACATTAACAAACACATCCACTTCATTTCCTTACCCGTTTCTCTTTTCTTTCTGTAGGTATCCTTCCATCCATTGATCAGTTTAATGGAACATGAACGACGTCACTGTGTTGCACAGCGCCAGAATTGACAGACGTTTGGAAGCAACTCTGTGCTCCTTGATCAACCGGGACGTGGTGACGGAGGTCGAGGGCAGATTTAAATGATATTATTGATAGACTCCAACCCTGCAGAAAGGTCAGAAGAGTTCCACAGTTTAATATGATGCGATGTGATTCGACACAACATGTTGTGACCTTCTTAATGACCAGCCCGAGGCGTTTCATTTATTAAGTGTTGTCACAGTCCAGAGGGATAGACTGATGTTTTTAGTCACTTCAAACTCTGCAGCCAGGCACTCACATTACATAAAGAAATCACGACAACAACTTAAAATCCTTTGACATGATGTGACACAGTGTGATAGCTTATGTAACAAACTGTGACTTGACATGATGTGACAAGGTACATGACAAAATCTGACACTAAAATATCATTTTATTACAATATCTACAAAATGAATAAAAGTTAGTGCTTAACACGCAGCCTCCACCAGATAAAATATTCTTCTGGCTCTGAATCAGTGCTTGATGTTTGCCTTGTCTTGAGTTGTACTGCAACATTTTAAGTCAACTTTCGCAGCTTCTAAATAAATTATACAATTCGATCTCGTCTGTTTCCCAGGCCTGCCGAAGAAAGAGTGACGGAGGAGAGCAGAGGGGTTGGTGGCTGGATGTGGAAGAATGTGTGCAGGTAATGCTTAAATTAAAATGACAATTATTTAAAAATATCACGTTAGCCAAATGTATGTCAAGGAGATAAGGAAGGAGCCCAATGCAGACAACCTGTATACTGACATTATGCAGTAATTTATAAGTGAAATTAAGATTAAACATATATTAGCAAAAGCAGGATGTCAGCATATGGAGCAAAGAATCCACAGAAATGACGCAATGAAAAGGCTACATGCAGGAAGGTTCACAGTCTGGTTCAGGTTCAGGTTGCTAGAATGCACATTGTGATGCAACATTGATGATCTGGTCAAGATGGGGAGCTATAAATACTTTGGGAGGTCATTTTGGAATTAGGACAGGAAAGGAGCAGATGTAAGGTTTGACTCAGACAGGTGAGAAAGTTTGAGGACATCATGGTTTTCGAATTACAAGTCCAGAGTTACAAAGTGATTTATGAACCCGGAGAAGGAAACAGAACTGCTGAAGACAGAGGGTCCAGCTAAAGAGAAAGAAAAGTGTAGCAACTGTGAAACACATCTTTATCAGTAAACATGTTATTTATGTGAACGTGGATGCAGTGGTGATTCTTGAGTCTGTTGGGGCCAGAGGCATAAATTCCCAGTGGGGGGTAGGGGGGCATATTTAGGGCTAGTCATTCACTATTTTATTGAAGTGGGTGCTGTCAGATGGGGCCCACTTTGGTAGGTTTTCTACTGTCATTGCAAACTTTGCACATTTTGAGAGACCGCTGTGTTTTATCAGCCCTTGGGGGCCCCCAAATGGCCTGGGGTCCAAAGCAGTTGCCGGCCTTGCTTGTTGACAAGCAGCGCCTCTGCATGTATGAACTTAGAAATGATTAGTCAGTACTGTAATCAAACATATATATCATGAATGGAACTTGGACTTCCTGTCAGTTCACGTCATATACATACAAATCTAAGAGGTAGAGTCTTTTCACTCACAAATTAACTCATAACATTTTTTTGTCATTTCATTATATTTTAATTGAATATGCTAATTAATAGCATTGGCACTTGCAGTTTGAAATGTAACTTTATGAGACAGATGTTCTGCTCTCATTCTTTCTATAACAAATCTACATTTCACATGATCTCAACAAGCTGCTGTGGGAAAATAAAGAACAGGTCTGATGTTTGAAGGCGATCCTTTGCACAGTGCTTTTAAAGGTCTCTGAAGCTCCTTCAGTGAGTGACTAATGATGCCTCAATTCTCTACTGAACGACCCAGCAGGTCTTTGTTTGTTCCAGCAGCAGTCTGATATTCAAATGGTGTCATTGGTGTTTGTTATTTTTTTAATCTGTTGTGTACTTTAATTGTACTGTCGATATTGTTTGTTGTGTGTTTGAATTGTCTGGATGGCAAATGAGTTTCCCTGCTGGGGATTAATACAGTTTTCTGATCTGTCAATAAACCTAATTTGACTGTTTTATTAACTACATGTGACAATCTCAAGTGTTAAACATAACACTTACATTACCTGTTCTTCTCTCAGCCACAAGATGGCAGCAAAGTCCTTTCAGTGTTTAAATTTGCCATCTCTGTAAAGCAAACGGTACTAATCAGTGTTGCTGCGTCTAACTTTTAATTAACAAGACTTTTTGGAAACAAGAGAGAAGCTAATAGTGTGTTCTTCTCCCCTTCACAGGAAATTCTAACGAGGCCTTTTGTTGATGCCAAGAGAAGAGGACGGCTGAAATCAACTGTTACGCAGCTGATGGTGTAAAGAGTGTCGAGGACATCAAAACTCAAGAAGATGTTTCATTTTTAAATAAAACAAAAAAAAAGTTATTTAGAATTCTTCATCATTAAAAGTAATTGGCCCCTCTTTCAAACGTTCTGTGTTTGCAACTTCTCACAAAAACAAAAGCCATTAAAGTACAACCTGAATATGAACGATCCATCCCCAAACTCTCTTTTAGTATCTGGACAAACCAGGCAGCACACACACACACACACACACACACTCACACACACATGGGTAAGGAGCCAGTAATGGCCCCTCGTAAATAAGGGTTCCTGTATTTTGGTGAAACCCAGTAGTGCATCTGGATCCCATCACAGCTCGTGTTCCCTTTGCAAATGATCCCAAATGTTTCTAATTATGCCAGTGGAGTCGGCACGAGGCTGTGTGAGCTCTTGTGTGTGTGTGTGTGTTTCTGTGTACGTGTAGCCGCTCTGATGGACACGCACACCCACACACTGGCCTCTGTCTATTCATGAACGGAGTAACAAAGATGGACAGCGTGGAGTCGACCTCGGTAGCCTCCGCTTAGGTCACTGCACGTGGTGATGACTGATGAGTGAAAGATGGGGTGGAGAAGGAGATCTCCACTAGTTTTGTCTGCTGACATCACTGTCTCCGTGCTGCTCTCGAGTGATTTCTAACCCTGGTTGGGGGGGGGGCGGGGGGGGGGGGGCGTTTTTAAGAATGGCTGAGGCTGAAGTTGGTTAACAGATAATGTTTAAAATATGCAAAAATATTCAGAGTGTTTACCATGAATGTTTCACCTCTGAGAAAACCTTATTCTTGAAATCAACAGAGAGAAAAGACGTTCCCTGCATTTGGGGATTCATGCATTTTATAACTTCAAAGCCCTCCATATGCAGAGACCTGGACCATATTTAATATATGTAAATGGTTTGGATGCATTCTGATTTTTACATACAAGCATGCAAATGTGATTGTTTGCACTCTCACTGTGTTGTAAGAACTTCATATGTGCGTGACTGCACCCACCAGGGAACATTCATTAACTGCTGAGATGATGGTAGACGTTTTTATGGTGCTTTAATGTTGATGAATATGCTGGAACCGAGCCACTGTTGTTCACCATGCCAAATGTTGTGTGAGACTGAAACAAAAAAATAAAAAAAATAAAACAGAGGAAACCACCATTCGTTTACTGGTTGACCCTTTTTGTTATTTTAGAGAACATAGTGTAGTAGCTGTTTCTGGAGGCAGGTGTTCCCAGCCAATCGTCTGGCTCCTTTAAGATATTTAAAGCCATTTTATCGCAGGTTTCTGGGACGATTGTTACTCGGAATTCCCGTAAATGTTTTTTTCTTTTTTTTTTTTAAACAAGCTCTGGCAATCTTGGATTATTCCCCTCTTCCAGACACAATGACATCATTTATATTCAGATTCTACTGTACCTTTTAAGAAAATGTACGAGCATTCAACATAACCTTCCAAAAATGTTCTACTCATTAAAGCTGCAACCATTAATTTTATATATTTAGGAATGTAAAATGTGTCACTTGAGTAATACATCCAAACAGAAATATCACTTGATCGTTGTCCACAGCTCTGTGTAGTGTTTTTAACTTTACCATTCCACACAGGTCAAACCCACTGACAGAACTACAGTACATAAACTGCACAACAAGGAAAATACCACACCACACCACACCACATACAAATGCATTTTAAAAAAGTGTATTTTTGCAGACTATCTGCAAATCCTTCCATCCTTGTATCTATGTTGCAGAAGTGCTGTATTAAAATTGAAAACAAGTATGGGGCGTCTATGGTTCAGTAGTCAGGGGTTCAATCCCCAGCTCCTGCATCCACATGTCTGATGTGTCCTTGGGCAGGACATTTAACCCCAAGTTGCTCCAAAGCTGCTGCTTTGGTGCTGGTGTGTGACTGTGTATGAATGGGATTAGTTAATACTGATGGACACTTTACATAGCAGCCTCTGCAATCAGTGTGTGAATGGTTAGATGTGACTTACGGTGTAAAAGCGCTTTGAGTAGTCAGAAGAAAAGAACAACACATGCTTATTTGATTTTCCTCAAAAAGTTCTGGCCTATGAGTCAGACATTCATTTCTGATGATGGACCACTTGGACTGCAATATACTGGATGCATGGTGACGTACAAATAACAACAACAAAAAAAGATTTATTTTGAAATGAAATATAACTTTTAGCCAGCTGTTAGTCCATCTCTCTGGAATCACATGATGGTCATTCAATGAGGCTGTAATGCAATGAAAAGGTTGTTCAGTTCTCCATTAAAAAGGTCAGGTCTTAGACACACCTTGGAAATGTGAGATATTTTTGGTCTGCTGAACTTAACAAAAGCTACGGCTCAGTTATGAGGCAAAGAGCAAACGGTCTACTAAAAAGATTCAAAATCAATAGCTCTGTGAACGATGGATACAAGGTCAATAATTTGACGGTATGTCCTTCTATTAATATCTAGGTTACGACGGTCACTAATGGACAACTACCTTGGGAAGCTTGGAGGGTAGGTGTTGTGAGGGTAATTGGGTGCTTATTATTTTGTTTTATTGTTTTGTTTTGTTTTTTTATTCTAGGCAGATGCTCTGACTTGCTTCCATGTGACATCATTCTGTACTGTCTGCAAAAATTTAATAAAAATATTGGGAAAAAAAAAT